AATTGGAAAAATGAAGATATGATAACCTTCAGCCAATTTATGAACGCACAGCTTACAGGCGCAGACTCTGTATGGATAAATATGGTAACATTTGGAATGAGTTTATACAAAATGTAGTAAGCTATTAGCATTTACATAAGCACTTGAACAATAATACTATACCAATTTATGCCAGAATGTATGGGAATACATTGCATTTTTGGGCATATTTTCCCTTTTATATGTATCTTTGTTGTTGTTTTTCTCCCTCACTTTTCCTTCTATTTTTTCTGTAGCACTTTATTTCTTTTAACTGAAATCACCTTAATAAAATATAAATGTATATATTTAAATTCCCTTCCAGCATTTGATTCTGTCACCGCACCAAGATGGGCGGTGCTGCAAGTCATAGCAGCCTCAGCGCTGCCTCCTGGTGGCCACCTCCTGCCTGACAACAGCACTCCTTCAGAGTGGCTGGGGAGCATGTTGGTCCGAGATCCCGGGCAACTTTCATCACTGCGGATGCTGCACCCTAAGGCTCAAGGAAGACAAAAACAAGCATCTCTTCACACAACACACAACCTTCCAAAGGGGCCCTTCGACCCCCTCAAAAATGCTTACATTCAGAAAATGAGTTTTCAAGTACTCCTGGGGAGCAGGATTAAGTGCTCCTTGCTCATTTTAATATTAGATGCTTTAAGAGCAGGGCTTCTGTTTTGCCCTGTGTAGAACAAAAGGACCGTTTGGGGAGAGGGAGAGCGGAGTCAGCTGCATGGGTTCAAGAGAGGATTAGACAAATTGATGGAGAGGACCACTGATGGCTCCTACCCACCACAGCTATGCCCTGCCCTCCACACTTGAAGACAGGGGTGCTTCTGAATACCACTTGCTGGAAAGCACAGGAGACGGCTTTTGGGCATGAAGGAGCGTCTCCACCCCCATCGTTCTGCCCGGACACTGAGATCCGGCGCCGAGGGCCTTTTGGTGGTTCCCTCGCTGCAAGAAGCCAAGTTACAGGGAACCAGGCAGAAGGCCTTCTCGGTAGTGGCACCCGCCCTGTGGAACGCCTCCCACCAGATGTCAAAGAGATAAACAACTACCAGACTTTTAGAAGACATCTGAAGGCAGCCCTGTTTAGGGAAGCTTTTAACGTTTAATAGGTTATTGTATTTTAGTGTTTTGTTGGAAGCTGCCCAGAGTGACTGGGGGGACCCAGTCAGATGGGCAGGGTATAAATAATAAATTATTATTATTATTATTATTATTATTACCCCTGCCCAACTGTTCAGCCATTGTGAGAACAGGATCCTGCACTAGATGGGCTACTGGCCTGGCCAGCAGACTCTCCTTATCCTCTTTTGTTCATAGTGCTTGTCATGATGCAAAGCATTTTGTTGTTGTTGTTGTTGTTGTTTAGTTGTTTAGTCGTGTCCGACTCTTCGTGACCCCATGGACCAGAGCACACCAGGCACTTCTGTCTTCCACTGCCTCCCGCAGTTTGGTCAAACTCATGATGGTAGCTCCGAGAACACTGTCCAACCATCTCGTCCTCTGTTGTCCCCTTCTCCTTGTGCCCTCCATCTTTCCCAACATCAGGGTCTTTTCCAGGGAGTCTTCTCTTCTCATGAGGTGGCCAAAGTCTTGGAGCCTCAGCTTCATGATCTGTCCTTCCAGTGAGCACTCAGGGCTGATTTCCTTCAGAATGGAGAGGTTTGATCTTCTTGCAGTCCATGGGACTCTCCAGAGTCTCCTCCAGCACCAGAATTTAAAAGCATCCATTCTTCGGCGATCAGCCTTCTTTATGGTCCAGCTCTCACTTCTATACATCACTACTGGGAAAACTATAGCTTTAACTATACAGACCTTTGTCTTTTAACTTCATGACTGCTGTCACCATCTGCAGTGATCATGGCGCCCAAGAAAGTGAAATCTCTCACTGCCTCCATTTCTTCCCCTTCTATTTGCAAGGAAGTGATAGGACCAGTGGCTATGGGCATTACTGGACAGCAATGAGGAAGGAAACTTCATGGACTTTCAGAGGCTACATGAAGACCAGACCATTCTGCATCACAGCCACAAACTCCCACCTAGGGGCTGAAATATGGCAAGCCCAGAAGCCAGGGACCCAGCCCTGCCAGATCCTTCTGCAAGCCCAGGGGCACGGACCTCGGTCACTGGTTTCTTAATGCTCTGAGCAAAAGGGTCTTTGAGAAGCTTTGGTCACTCCTGGCCCTCGGTGGAGAGGTTTCCAGGGCTTATGAACATGAAACGGAGAATTGCGTCCTGAATATGCAAAGCCAACTTTTCATTTCCAAGGCATTATCGCCTTAGGGGAGGCATTTTCCCTCCCTCCCCCGTCCCCCTTTGAAAAAACAGGCAAGAGGATTTAGGCAGATATTCAAACTTCAAATGGAGAATTACGCAGCAGATGCAAATATCATCTTCCACTGTGAAACAGGTAGCTGCAGGCGCAAGATTAACAATATTAATAAGAGAGTAGGCAGATAAAATAATAAAATGGCATCAGTGGAACTGGTGCTTGACAGGAATAATAGACCATTGCCTGCCAGAGGTTACAATCTGAAATCCAATGCAGGAGAGGCAGGGAAGAGCGATGGCAGGAAATGCTTGCGGGTCAATTGCTGTTTCTGTAGGGCAGGCCTGTCCAAAGTCCATTTCGGAGGCCTAATCTGGCCTGCCGGTCGGTTTAATTCGGGGCCCTCATGGCAGTTCATTTCCTGGGGTAAAATCCTTTTTAAAAAGCTCAACAACTTTGGTTGGCCCTCACAGCCCTTCACTTCATCAAATCTGGCCCTCTTTGAACAAAGTCTGGACACCCCTGCTGTAGGTATTTGGGGATTATGGGGCTGAGTCAAAGGCACCGAGGGGACTTCTGAGGCAAGATGAGAACTTCTTGCAGGGAGCGGTCCAGCAGGAACTGCCCCTCTCTTCCTTCAGGTGTCCTTTGAAAACTTATTTGTTCACATAGGCCTTCAAAACATGACTTTAACTAGCCAGCAATTATTGATATTTTAAAATGCTTTTATGCATCTTTTGTTGACTTTGTAAGTTGTACATAATTTTTTTTACATCATCTTTATTGAATTAAAATACAAATACAGATATACTGTTGTTGTTGTTTAGTCGTGTCCGACTCTTCGTGACCCCCTGGACCAGAGCACGCCAGGCACTCCTGTCTTCCGCTGCCTCCCGCAATTTGATCAAACTCATGCTGGTAGCTTCGAGAACACTGTCCCACCATCTCGTCCTCTGTCATCCCCTTCTCCTTGTGCTCTCCATCTTTCCCAACATCAGGGTCTTTTCCAGGGAGTCTTCTCTTCTCATGAGGTGGCCAAAGTATTGGAGCCTCAGTTTCACGATCTGTCCTTCCAGTGAGCACTCAGGGCTGATTTCCTTCAGAATGGATATGTTTGATCTTCTTGCAGTCCATGGGACTCTCAAGAGTCTCCTCCAGCACCACAATTCAAAAGCATCCATTCTTCGGCGATCAGCCTTCTTGATGGTCCAGCTTTCACTTCCATACATCACTACTGGGAAAACCATAGCTTTTACTATACGGACCTTTGTTGATACAGATACACACATAAAGATAAAAAAGAAAAGATTAAGACAAGAAAAGAAAGAGGGGGGAAACATACAAAACAAAAATTTGCATTACTGTATTATATAATTGTTCATTGACTTTCTATATAAAAGATTTCCAATTCTTCTCATTGTACTTGTATTGTTATTTACGTTTAACGCACAGCCTTCTATTACCCTAATTTGTTTTCGTGTGCTCTAACAAATTAACATTTGCACATTGTATTTTACAAGGATCAGTTTAATTCCGCAAGGAGATTGTTATTTGGACAATATGTTTTTAGGTAATCTTTGAATATTTTCCATTCTTTGCATACTTTCTGGTTTGAGAGCCCTCTTACTTTCCCCGTCATCTCTGCCAGTTCAAAGTATTCAATCATAAGAGTCTGCCATTCTATTATTGTGGGTGGTGTTTCATTTTTCCAGTTTCTTGCCACTAATATTCTGGCTGCTGTTGTTCCGTACATAAACAATGGTCTTATATCTTTTCTGATTTCCGCTGACATTATTCCTAGGAGGAAGGCTTCTGGTCCTTTTCTGAATGTAAATCAGAATAGCTTTTTGAATTCATTATATAATTTGTCCCAAAATTCCCGGATGACTGTGCAATTCCACCACATGTGTAAGCATGTCCCTGTCTCTTTTTTGCACCTGCAGCAGGTTGGTGATCTACCTTTATACATTTTAGCAAGTTTTGCTGGAGTTTGGTGCCATCTATAAAGCCTATTTGATATATGATAAAGTGAGGGTCTGTAAGGGTTTCTTGAATCATGTGGTAAGAAAATCCCTGTATAAGATCTGGGAGAAATATAAAAGGTTGTTAGAGCCAAAGATACCCTTGTGGACCTCTCCTGCTGAAGCCATAGCAGTCAAAAAAAGGCATATGAAAAAGGAATGGCCCACCTATCGAGTACTGCTAGAATTTGTTGAAGATAAGCCAATGTTGAAAAAATATGACGAAATTAAAAGCCACTTGACAGACTGGCTCCAATACTTTCAAATAAACCAAAGATTGAGTTTAGACAAGAGAGATGGTCTGGCAAAAGAAACATTCAAGTTTGAAAAAGAGCTAACTCACAATAAAGGAAAACATATCTCAGGAATATACAACTATTTATTAGAATGGGAAGTGAAAGAAGAGCAAGTTAAAGTTGTAATGGCGAGATGGGCACAAGATCTTGGATATAGTATCTATATGGAACCATGGAAAAGATTATGGAAGGAGGATATAAAATTCACGGTGTGCTATAATTTTAGGGAGAATGCAAGTTGTACTTATTTAAATAAATGTGATCTGAAAGAAGAGTGGGACAGGGATGGCTCCCCCCCCCCATGTGATGCTGGCAGCATGTGATGCTGCGGGTGGGGCTGGCAGGCACCGTCCCACTAGTCCCACTCGACCTCTGTGTCTAGTCTTCTCATGGTAGCAAACTCTGAGAAGGGTCCCAGAAAACCCTGAGACAGAAATATTCCAAGTTTAAGGCACCTGGGGCAGAAGCGTTCAAGGGTCCGGGCGACCTCTGCGTGGCTGAGGGTGGAGGCGCAAAGGCCACAGGAAGCAGAGAGGGCAGGCTGGCATAGAAGGCTTCGAAAAGGAGGAGTTTGTGGTGGACCTGAGAGCAAACAGAAAGCCAGCACACAGATTTAAACTGGGGTGCATGTCACATGGCCTGAAAGGCAAGAGAGTGAAGGATTTGAGCGCCAGACCATTCTGTGCGCTGGGCAGAGGTGAAGTAACCAAAAGCCAGAGAGGAGGATCGATGGGGGAGCCTGGCCCATTGGAAGGCTCACCCCAATTCAAAGGCTTTGTCTGCCCTTTGGTGACATCACCCTGCAAGCAAGGCTCTGGCTAGTGTCTCTGGAGCTGCCTGGTGTGCTGTCTGGATCCCTGGCAAAAGAGCAGGGGGTTACATGACCAACTGGAACACCGCTGCAGCATCCACCCTGCTAGCCCTCTTGGCCCAGACTCCCTCCAGCCCCAGTGAGACAGACTGTGTCAATACTAAGTCACTTAGCAGAGCCAAAAACCAAATTGTTGGCTCCCTAATCAGAGTGTGAAAGAAGAACCCAAGAGGCGGAAGGCAGAGCAGCGCAACCGGGAGATGGAAAGAGGCAGAAGAGGAGGGAGGGTGAGAAACAGAGAGCTGCTCTGGCACCAGCCAAGAGCTCATTTTTAGAAAGAGAGGAAAATGTGTCCGGATCCGGGCATTACTGCAGAGCCTACCCCCACTGCCCGCGGGACAGCAAGCTCAATACAAGGAAAGAGCACCCCTCTCAGCAGGACAAGACTGGTCCCAGATTTCCAAACACAATAAAACATATTCACTCCAGACCGCTCCATCACCAATCAAACTAGGTTTATAAAATTATTCACGGCACTGAGAAAAAGTCTTCTCCCTCTCTCCTAACACATGAAGCTGAATGTTAGAAGATTTGGGACAGATAAAAGGAAAGACTACAATGCACAGCACAGAAATTAAACCATGGAACTCAATCCGACAGCAGGCAGTCATGGCCACCAACCTAAATGGCTTTAAAAGAGGATTAGACAATTCACGGAGGAGAGGGTTATTGATGGCCACTGGCCAGGATGGCTCTGCTCTGCCTCCACAGCTGGAGGCAGCAAGGCTTCCGAGCAACAGTTGCTGGAAACCACAGGAGGGGAGAGTTGCTCTTGAGCTCAAATCCTGCTTGTAGGTTTCCCAGTGGGGCACTTGGGTTGGCCACTGTGGGAACACGATGCGGGTCTAGATGGGCCACTGGCCTAATCCAGCAGGCTCCTGTGTTCTTAGGTATCAACTGTTATACAACTAAAAAGAGAGCAAAGAGGAAACTAGGAGGAACTCCTTTAGCAGTATTAAAAGTTAATCAGAGTACACTCATTGCTTTCAACAGGTCTCCTCTGAGCAATACTGTTTGGTATTACTCTGAGCCCTAGCACTTGGGAGTTTGCAGAGCAAGGCTTCAGCTGAACCAATGACTGTTGGTTTTCATTCTCAGGTCACACAGTAGATAAACAGAATCCCCCTTCCCAAAATGATGTCTTACCTCTGGCCATGCCAAGCCACCAAGAGCCTCTCCGGGATGTGGCTGTGATTGTTCCATCCACCTTTTTTGAGACACTGAACCTCTGGGCACCAGGCAGAACACCGTAAGGTCCAAACATTTGTCACTTTCCAAGCATGATGGTCTGACAGCATCTCTCCCATTTTATTGAAGCAACAGTTAGTTACAAACACTCCAGTTCTTCTGCAGGCGTTTTCTGGAGGGACCCTCTTCTCACTGCTCTCAGAAAGCACCCAAGGGGGCGTCATGCAATATCTCCCTGCCAGAAGTGCATTACGTAACCCTTAGGTGTCCAAACTACTGAGGACACACAAAACTTCCAGCACATGACAAGCCTCTGGAGCTCTCACAAGACAGGGAAGAGGCGGGTCTAAAACAGAGACCCTGGCAGAAATGGGGGGGGGGCAGCAGAGACCCAAACTGAACACTCTAGACCAGGCACGTCCAACAGGTAGATCGTGATCTACTGGCAGATTGTGGGGTGTTCCTGGTAGATCTTTGGCCCCTCAGTGATCTCCTCCCCCCCCCAACAACTTTGGTCCATCCAATGACAATGGGTAGATCACTGCCAGTTTTTTTATACAGTGAGTAGATCGCAGTCTATTGGGAGTTGGACGTCCCTGCTCTAGACCTAACAGGTCTGGTGAGATTCTGGCCTTTCCACTGTTTCGAAAAAAGGGTCCGCAGGGTGAGGGAGGGAGCAGGAGCACAGCCAGGAAGTCCTGCAAGATGTCACTGCTTTTGCTGCCTTCAACCCCAAATTATTGTACTTCTCTGTGTGTAAGACGAGGTTTTTTTTAATTAAGAAATTAGGTTAAAAATTGGGGGTCATCTTATACATGGATAGTGCATGGGGGAGGTATGTGGGAATTGTTTGGTGCTGCGAGCCAGAGATTGTCAGTGTTATTGGTGGCTGCTGCAAGGGCTGGTGTTGATATGCTGTTGCTGTGGCAATTGGGCGGGCGACTGGCAGCAAGGGGACCGAGGATCCGTGGTTTTTCCTACGTGCACTAGTGGCAGCGTAGGTCAGGCGGGTGATCAATTTTTGGCAATCCCCCCTAAAAAAAAGCTCAACAACTCACTACTCTGGGCAATCTCCCCCTTTTTTCTTAATTCTGAGTCCCCCCAAATAGGGAGCGTGTTATACACAAGGGTGTGTTATACACGGGAAAATACAGTATGTCAGCAGTAGTGGAGATTTTTAAATCTAGAGAGAGGCTGCTGCTTTGCCGGGGTTCTTGAGACTGTTTTCTGGGGATCCTTACATACCTGAGGCTTTGGGGGGAGGGTGACAGCGGCACGGATGCCTCAGGGCAGAGCCAGAGAAGCCCCTGCTGCTCCCCGTTGCCCCAGGCCCAATGCCCATAGCTGTCAACCGTCTCTTATTTGGCGGGAAACTCCCTTATCCCAGCGCCGTGTCCCGCTGCTGTCCCTTATTGATGATGTCCCTTAAATTTCCGGGTTTCAAAGGAAGCAGCTCCTCTCCCTCCCTCCCTGCCGTCCAGGGAGGAGGGAGGCTCCAACTGTGTTGCTTGGCTGCCCAGCCCGCCCCCCTCCGGCCTCCTCTCACCAGCCTCAGCCCCCGGGAGCCCCTCCCCGCCGGGACTGGTGGGAGACTCGGGCCCTTCCACCACCATGCTCCTCGCGGCCACCGAACTGAGTATCTCTGACTGGGGCCTCCCCTCTGCCCACCGCTCCAGCTAGGCCGTACTGCAGCCGCCGAAGGACCCAGTTAAGATGGGCAGCCTGGCATGGCCTATGAATTGCTGAGCTTTGAAAGGTGAGCGAGGGCAAGCATAGAGAAAGCAATTCAGAGAGAGGAGGAGGAGGAGGCAGGTGTTCCAAGGGCTACAAGGGAAGGACCGCAAGCACTTGTCCCATAGATTTGTAGTGGTAGACTAGCATAGATGGTCTGATCTGCGGGTTTACTTTGGGTGCTATTCCCCCCCCCCTTCCTCCCGCCCCGCCTGATGGAACTGAGAGCTGCAGATGGAGCACGAGAGAAAAGATACAGAACTGCAGCAGCATCTTCGTAGCTTGGACTTTGTTTTGTGCAAAAAGTGGTTGCTGCTTGTAGTTATTTAATTGCAGTGTTTCATCGGCTGGTGTCTTGAGCAACCTCTGGAAACGAAGGGCTAAAAACCGGTGCTGCTCTCCAAAATTATCTGGTCCCTTCTAACCTCAGCTGGTTGACTAAAATCCCTTATTTTGGCAGCTGATCCCTTATTTTCGAGGCTGCTGGTCCCTTATTTTCAAATCTGTAAGTTGACAGCCAATGACAAACTTGCCAACAAAGGTCTGTATAGTTCAAGCTCTGGTTTTCCCAGTAGTGATGTATGGAAGTGAGAGCTGGACCATAAAGAAGGCTGATCGCCGAAGAATTGATGCTTTTGAATTCTGGTGCTGGAGGAGACTCTTGAGAGTCCCATGGACTGCAAGAAGATCAAACCTCTCTATTCTGAAGGAAATCAGTGCCCTGAGTGCTCACTGGAAGGACAGATCCTGAAGCTGAGGCTCCAAGACTTTGGCCACCTCATGAGAAGAGAAGACTCCCTGGAGAAGACCCTGATGCTGGGAAAGATGGAGGGCACAAGGAGAAGGGGATGACGGAGGACGAGATGGTTGGACAGTGTTCTCGAAGCTACAAACATGAGTTTGACCAAACTGCGGGAGGCAGTGGAAGACAGGAGGGCCTGGCGTGCTCTGGTCCAGGGGGTCACCAAGAGGCGGACATGACTCAACAACAACAACGAGTTGACAGCCATGCCAATGCCTGAGGCGAGCCCTGCCCCACCCGCGGCTCCGGCTCCCCCTCGGCCCGGCCCTGCCAGAGCCCCCCCCCCCCGGAAGGGAAGCCCCTCGCCCGCCCAGGACGGTCCCCCGGCACAAGGCCAGAGCCTCCCTTCCGCCCCGGCACGTGACGCAGAGCCATCATGTGACGCGCTCCGCACGCCCTTCCCTTCACCTCGCGCACTTACGCAAATGACGCCCTCGAAGCCTTCCGCGGAGAAAAAGTAGTCCCCCGCGGCCCGCCAGATTTCTCCGAGGAAACGGCCGGCCTGACGCTTCCCCCGACGAGAGAGCAACCAGACCCCGGGGGGAAAGAAGCCGGAGCAGCGCCGCCGCCGCCGCCCGCCCGCCCACGCGCCCTCGGAAGTAGTCCCGGCGCCGGCGGGGTCCGGCGGGAGAATCCCTCCGCCGGGCGAGGGAAGCGGCGATGGCGACCGGGCGGGTGCCGGGCCGGAGGGAGCGGGCGGCTGAGGGGCCGCGGGGGCGTCTGCGGGAGGCCCCCGGCGGTACGGAGGCTGCGGCGGCGCGGAGGGTCCCCGGCGCGCCTGGGTCGGCCTCCGGGCGGCGGGCGAGGGGAGGGGGCCTGGCGCAAGATGGCGGCGGGCGGGGGCTCAGGCAGCGCCGAGGGCAGCCCGCCTCGGACAAGGCCCCGCGGGAGGGAAGGCAGAGCGGGCAGCCGAGCCCGAGCGGCGCGCGCACCCTCCGCACGCACGTCACGCCAGGGCGCTGGGCCAATAGGAAAAGGGGAGGCGGGGGGGCGGCCTGGCCTGGCCAGGTGCATTGTGGGAGAATCCCTCCATCCCTGCCCGATGGCGACCCGGGAGCCGGGCCCAGGCAGCGGCGGGGCGGCTGCGCTTGCAGGCCCAGAGCTGGGCTGCCTCCTCGTGGAATCCTAGGGCTGCAAGGGACCCCCAGGGTCATCTAGTCCAACCCCCTGCAGTGCAGGAATCGGGGCAGGATCTGGTGACCATGCCACCCCCCAGCCCCACAGCAGGGGGAATGGCTGGCCTCTGTTAACGGAGAAATCTGAGGGCTCCCTTGGACAGAAATCAAGGACACCAGCCAGGAATCCCAGAGCAAAACAGCAGCCAGGAGGCTTGGTCTTGATTGAAGACTGTGGCGACAGGACTCCCACCTGCCACCAGGTGGAACAAGATGGAAGCCCCCAACAAAAGAGAACCCAAACTTTTATTAGCTGCTAATCCCCATGTTACACACCCCCAAACTACAACAGTAAGACATCACGGTTACATCATGAAAGGGGAGGTCTGGTGGCAGTAATCTGAGCATCCTGGACCCTGCCCCATGGTTCCCCTTGCCCTCCACCAAACACCCATCAAGTGGAACAAAAGAGATATTTACATTGCCCTGTTTCCCAGCCAAGTTAATCCGCTCCAGCCTCAAAGGCTGCCATGCACAAGTTTGGTCTTTGCATCTTTGCAACCCGCAATTCAGGGAGCGCTCTCGGACGCCTGCTTGCCTGGCTTCCTCCCCCACGGGGTGAATTGTGGGTTGCAAACACCAAAGTTGTGCAGGGCAGCCTCCCAGATCCTAGTCTGATACTCTAACCACTATACCACACACCAATATGAGCAACTTAAGCGCTCAGCAATAGGAGCACCGCTTTTCTTTCTGCTTAGATCAAACTGTACTCCAGCATTTCTGGACAAGCAATACTCCCTCCGGCAGCTTGTTCAGTTTTCCATTAAATTTTCGTGGTTAAACTGCTGGGCGGGGGCGGGGCGGGGGGCACAATAAGCAAACCAAGGAACAGGAACCTGGAATTTGGTGCACATCTTGTGTCTTTGAAGCCGCCCAGGTTCAGAGATAAGCCCGATTGTATGAAGCTGCGCTGTGGAACACAGGGAGAGCCTTGCAGCCGGATCAATCTAGCCCAGCATTTTGCTTTTAAAGTGGCAGCCATGTGCCCCAAGGAGAAACCCCTCAAGCACGATGTAAGCTTAGCAGCCCTCTCTTATGCCTCAGAATGTCAGAAGAGGCCATCTCGTCCAGCATCCTCTTCATGGCCAGGAAGATGCCTCTTCTGGGAGGCCCCACAGGCAGGATCTCTCCCTGCACTTTGGATTCCCAGCAGCTGGGATTTAGAGTCATATGACCTCTGATCCCAGGTCCCTCTGATCCAGCCATCATGACTAGTAGACCTTGGTAGCCTTATTTTCCATAAGTTTCTTTAAGTCCTCTTCTAAAAGCCTTACGTTTACTGTCTCCTCTCTTCTCTCTCCTTGCCTAGTCTGAGGTGCCCTAGATGTTGGTCGCTTTCTGGCCTCACTCAAGCACAGTCAGAGGAACTGTATCTGGCTCAGGCTGTAGCTGGGATATCCCCATTCAGGTATGTGCCAGAAATATGTACCATGCAACGGACGGGCAAGATAGTTCCTGGGGTTGTCATGAGGGGGGCAAGATGGTACATCAAAGAGTGTTGATCTGGCCTGGGTGCTAGGTTTGCAAGAGAGCTTCAGAAATATGATTTGGAAAGAGCTGGCATGGATTATAAAATAATAATAATAATAATAATAATAATAATAATAATAATAATAATAATAATTTATTATTTATACCCCACTCATCTGGCTGGGTTTCCCCAGCCACTCTGGGCAGCTTCCAACAAAACACTAAAATAGAATAACCTATTAAACATTAAAAGCTTCTCTAAACAGGGCTGCCTTCAGATGCCTTCTAAAAGTTTGGTAGTTATTTTTCTCTTTGACATCTGGTGGGAGGGCATTGCACAGGGCAGGCACCACTACTGAGAAGGCCCTCTGCCTGGTTCCCTGTAACTTGGCTTCCCATAGCGAGGGAACCACCAGAAGGCCCTCGGAGCTGGACCTCAGTGTCTGGGCAGAACGATGGAGGTGGAGACGCTCCTTCAGGTAGCATTGATTAGCATTGATTCCATTCCTGATTTATTTATTTTTGGGGGGTGGGGAGGTGCTGTTGCATGAACACTCCTCTTTTGCAGTCAGAAGCTTCTGTTTCTTGTTCCACCTTTCACTGACGGGCAGTGTCAAGTGCCACATCCCAGTAGGGGGTTACTTAAGACTGGGGTTTCTTCCCACCATGACGCACACACTCTGCTTTTCCAGACTCGGCCATGGAAGCAGAAAATGAAGTGGAGAGCAGCAGCGACGCTGCCCCTCGGCTGGGGCAGCAAGAGGAGCCCTCCGAGAGCGGCTTGGGCATGGAGACCTCAGAGACCATGTCTGCAGACAGCAGCGATGCTGCCTCAGTGCCCGTCACCCTCTCGGAGGCAGATGAATCCGGGGTCGGCCAGAGCTCGGACAGTGGAGGGATCTCTTTGGTACGGACCAAGTCTCTTTTGCCTCTTTGGGGCCAGGCTTTCTGCCAGGGTGGGGGACACAGCAGGTAGGCCCATTTCACGAGAGCGGAAGATAGCAAGTCTGACCTGGTGGAAGAATAAGAGGCTAGTAGGAAGTCTCCTCTTGCTTTTCCTCATGGAATGATAAACTTGCCTTTATTTATTTGTGTAGAGTTGGAAAGGGACCCTTAGGGTCATCTAGTCCAACCCCCTTGCAATGCAGGAATTGCAACTAAAGAGTCTCTGACAGATGGCCACCTAAATTGTTCTTCACATCCTCCTATGAAGGAGCGTCCACCACGTTCCTCTCTCTGCCACCTCTGAGTCGAGTTCCAGCCTCTGTTTCTTCCCTCTCTCTGCCTCGCAGGCCGAAGTACCGGAGAGCAGCTCCAGCACGGACGCCTTGCCCAGGGCCTACCTGCCGGACTCCTCCTCCATTGCGCAGTCCACCCTGGTGTCCAGCGTCTCCACCGTGAGCCAGTCTGTCCTGGTCTCCCAGTCTCCCCAGGGCCTCGTTCACTCCAGCGTCCTCGCGGAAGGAGCCCCCGTCGTCTCCAACTCCACGGCCTCCACCTCCTCGGATCTGAGTGCCGCCATTGACAAGATCATAGAGTCCACCATTGGGCCAGACATCATTCAACGTGAGCAGGCAGAGGGCTGCGGGGGGGGGGAGTCCGTGGTGGGAGGGTGCAGAGGGAGTCGGGGGAAGCAAACGGACTCTGGAAGTCGCTTCTCACAGCCGTTTTTAGGAGGCACCCCCAAATATGCCATTTGTGCAGGAGCTGACGCTGGTTCTCTTTGTTCCCTGGTTCAGGGTGCATTGCTGTGACAAGTGAGGAGGATGGTGGCGCCCAAACCACCCAGTACCTCATCCTGCAGGGACCAGATGATGGTAAGGAAAGGGTCTTCTGCATTCATTTCTTTGCCTTTCTCTCCCACCCTTTTCTCCAAGTGGCTCAAGGTGGTGTACGTGATTCTCCCTCTCCTCATGTGATCCCCACAACAACCCTGTGAGGTTGGCCAAGTGGGGGATTCAAACCCTCTCCCAGGTCCTAGCCCGACACTCTTAACCACTACACCTCACTGGCTCCAGCTGGTTGTGGTCCACCTCCCTCGCTTCCTCCTCTCCGGCCGGGAGCAGAAGGGACTGCGGTGGCCTGAGGGCTCCCTCCTGGCCAGCCTAGAGAAGAGGGAGGGTGTTGGGAGGAGCTGTCCCTTGACCTGGCGCCTGCACTTGCTCCCTCTCCCGCAGGGGCCCCCGTGATATCCCACATGGCCAGCTCTGCCCTGGCCCGCAGCTTGGCCGTGGAAGCCCTTGCGGACGGCCCCACCTCGACGTGCGTGGAGAACCCCGGGCCCCTGGAGCCGCTGGAGCAGCCGGAGGAGCCCGACCTGGAGAGCCTGGAGGAGCTGATGGAGGTGGTCGTGGTGCAGCAGTTCAAATGCAAGATGTGTCAGCACAAGAGCGCCTCAAAGAGGGTCCTCATCCAGCACATGAGGGAGCGCCACTTCCAGCCAGGTGCGTCGGGCTCGGCCGGCGCTCGTCAAGCTCCAGGGGCGGAGTGGAGTTTTGGAGCAGTTCGTATACTTAGACAGTTGGAAGGGACCCCGAGGGCAAGGCAGGATTGGTGCACGAGGGCGTGGAGTCGGCTCTTGCGCAGGCTTGCCGAGAGATCTCTGGCTCTGCACCATGAATCTATCAGCTTCTCTAGTTTGTGTGCAATCCCCTCCCGGGGGGGGGGGCTAGGGTTAGCAATAGGAGAGGGAGGGGAAGTTCTGTGGCACAAATAGGGCAGCATAAGAACATAAGAAGAGCTGACCGAATCAGGGCCAACGGCCCATCTAGTCCAGCATCCTGTTTTCACAGTGGCCAAACAGATGCCTCTTTCGGAAACCCACAGGCAGGATTTGAGCACAGGAGTGTAACGATCCCTGCTGTGCTTTCCAGCAACTGGCATTCAGAAGCGCCTCTGCCTCTCACCCTGGAGACAGAGCAGAGCCATCCTGGATGGAGCCCTCGCTAGCCCTCTCCTTCTCCATGAATTTTAAGGCGCTGGTTTTGACCTTTAAAGCCCTATGCGGCCTCAGACCCACGTACCTACGGGACCGCCTCTCCTGGTCTGCCCTGCGGAGGACCTTAAGGGCCACAAATGACAACATTTTGGAGGTTCCAAGTCGCAAGGTGGTTAGACTGGTCTCAACTAGGGCCAGGGCCTTTTCAGCACTGCCCCCGACTTGGTGGAACGCTCTGTCCCAAGAGACTAGGGCCCTGCGGGACTTGACATCTTTCCTCAGGGCCTGCAAGACAGAGCTGTTCCACCTGGCCTTTGGTTTGGACTCAGTCTGACCCTTATGTTTCCCTCCCCTTATGGTTTCGATCTATGGGCTACTTTTAAAATGAGGCTGCATTTTAAACTGCATTTTAACCTGTATTTTAAATTGGTTCTCCCCCCCCCCCCCGCTTATGTTTTTACTGTAATTTTTACTGTTGTTAGCCGCCCTGACTTTCTGTCATCCATCCAGAGTCTTCCAGCATTCAGTACTATTGGGCATCCACAAGGTCCAGCATCATGAGAGAGGGGGGGGAAGACCTTTCTCTCTCCAATTTCTCCAGACCAGGGATCCTTTTCTAAACTCTGCTGCTTGCAAGTCAAGCTGCTGTACGATGGGAGAGATGGGAGGAGCACAGTATATGGACTGAATCGTGCTGTTTCCTCCCCTCTAGCGTCAGCCCCCGGTGTGAAGAAAGGGCGCCCCCGGAAGGGGGCTCCTGTGCCCAAGGCCCCAGAAAACAGGAAGGCAGAAGAAGCAGAGGAGGAGGAGGAAGACGACATTGTGGACGCAGGGGCTATCGATGACCCTGAAGGTATTTCTCACGCAACCCCCCAGCTGCAGCCCCTCACCTGGCTCCCCCGCCCCGCTCACCTGGGCCTGCCTTTGCCACTCTTCCGCAGGGGACAGCGATTACAACCCAGCGGAGGACGAGCCCCGAGGGCGCCTGCCCAAGACCAGCAGCCGCCCTGTGCCCACGTCCAGCGAGGAGCGGCTGCGCCGGCGGCCGGGACGGCCCCGCAAGTTCCCCTGCCTGGAGGTGGTCCCTCAGCCAGAGGGTAAGCAGCGGTGGCGGAGCAGGGAGAGGGTGCAGAAACGCACACAGAGGTGCGCTCTGAGGGGCAAGGTCAGCCCCACCTGCACAGCATGGCGGAGTCTCTGTTTTCCAAGTCATTGCCAAATTTAGGGCCAAAGTGAAACACTTCCAGTTGCTGGCTGCATATCAGAAACGGAGGTTTTCAGCGCTGACTTCCCTCCTTCCTTCTTCTGGTTTATTATATCACATATAATTTTATCGCTTAGGAGCAAGTATAAATGTAAAATGCAACACATTATGTGTATGTGGAGTATGTAATCAGAAATCTAATAAAGATTATTTGGAGGAAAAAAGAAAGAAAGAAACGGAGGTTTTCAGATTCTCCAGGGGATGCTTTGGCGCCCCGTTGGAGTTGGGTGGGACTACTCACAAGCAAATAGGCGTTCTTACAAATAAGTGTGTTTCACAGTAGGGCAGTTTCTTCTACTCAGCTGCTGGTAGAAGGTTGGCAGGGCTTGCTGCCTTTGAGGGAGCCTCACTCAGATCCCCCTCTGCCCCCTCTGGGTCGAGTCGCCAGGGGAGCAAGGCAGTGGCACCAAGCAAAGACATGGAGAGGGTCCCCTGGGGCATCAGAGAACAAGTTTGCTCCATCTCCCTGCCAGTTTGCATTTCTTGGTGCAGAAAGTATTGATCTGATGTGTGGAGATCTTTCCTATTCCAATTAGTTCAAGAAGGTTCTGGAAGCTTTTCTTTGTGAAAGAAACAAGCAGAAGGGTCATGGTGTTTGGGTTATTCCTTCAGAGAAGCTGAGTACAGCTGATGTAAACTGGTTATCTCTTCTGTCAGGGTCTGCTGACTATCGTAATAAGGCCAGAAGGAGTCTAGGCTTCACTTTCTCTTTCTATCTGTTTTCTTTCTGGTGTGCTGTTCTGTATAGCATGTAGCATTAAAGCCTAGACTTGTAAGTTATTGTAAGCTTAAGTTAAGTCTGCTGCAACTGGATTTCTTACAGACAGGGCCAGTCCTGAATGTATTGGATTTCTAACCATTGTGCTCATTTGCCTTCAGTAGCAGTAAAGCTCTGCTGGATGAAATATTCATTCCCTCTGGTCTATTTTTTGGGAATCCTGCAACGTGTTTAGGTTTTTCCTCTGCCAACTATATGTTGGAGCTCTGCTCTGGATCAATAGGAGCAGAATTCAATGACACTCCCGTAGGACAGCCCATCACATATTTGAAGATGGCTCCTTTGACACCTGTCAGTCTTCTCTTCTCCAGGCTGAACAGATTTCTTCATGCTAAATAGTTCTCGTCCTGGTTTTTTATGCTCTCTTTTCCTTCCCCTCCCCCAATTCGCACAATGGTGTTCCTGGATTGGCTTTGCGCTTGCTGTGGCTTCAGGCCCCCTCCCCTTCCTCCCCCCCCCCAACCTAAGCTGACTGACTGTTTCCCTTGGGCAGGTGGCGACGCAGAGCCCGTGGTCTCATCCCAGGGCCTCCCCCAGGGCGACCCCCAAGGCCCCGAGGCGGCCAGCTCCTCGGACCAAGTGCCTGTGGGGGGCGAAAGCCACGGGGAGCAGGCCGTGAGCCAGTCCGACTCCGAAAACAGGGACCCTTCCTCCTGCGAGAAGCTGGAAGCGCTCCCCCGCCGGCGCGGCCGTCCCTCCCACCGCTTCCTGGGCAAGAAATACCGCAAGTACATCGGGCGAAGGTGATTGGTGGGGACGGCAGGCGGGGCGGGTTCCGTGGGCCCCCTTGGGGCTCCCTGCAAGAGACCCTGGGGCCTCTGTGGGGCTGGGCTCTCTGCGCTGAGCGCCCCTGTCATGTCACGCTGCAGGTACTGCTACAAGTCGGCCAAGCCCTTGATGCGTCCCTACCTGTGCCGGATCTGCGGCTCCCGCTTCCTGACGCCCGAGGACCTGCGCTTCCACGTGAACTCGCACGAGGCAGGAGACCCCCAGCTCTTCCGCTGCCTGCAGTGCAGCTACCGCTCTCGGCGCTGGTCGTCCCTCAAGGTGAGCTGCTGGCCGCCTCCCTTCTCCCGTCTCCTCCAAGCAGGTGGGAGGAAGACCAGTAAATGGAGAACAGGGGACGTTTATGTATTCATTTCTTTTTCCCATCTGCCTGTAATAAATAATAATAATAATAATAATAATAATAATAATAATAATAATTTTTATTTATACCCCGCCCTCCCTGGCCAGAGCCAGGCTCAGGGCGGCTAACACCAGTAAAATTACAGTAAAAACATCATAGGGAAAAAACCACACAATTTAAAATACAGGTTAAATGCAATTTAAAATGCAGCCTTATTTTAAAAATAGCCCATAGATCAAGACCATAAGGGGAAGGAAAACATAAGGGTCAGACTAAGTCCAAACCAAAGGCCAGGCGGAACAGCTCTGTCTTGCAGGCCCTGCGGAAAGATGTCAAGTCCCGCAGGGCCCTAGTTTCTTGGGACAGAGCGTTCCACCAAGTCGGGGGCAGTGCTGAAAAGGCCCTGGCCCTAGTTGAGACCAGTCTAACCACCCTGTGACTTGGGACCTCCTAATGTTTGTTATTTGTGGACCTTAAGGTCCTCTGCGGGGCAGACCAGGAGAGGCCGTAGGTACGAGGGTCCTAGGCCGCATAGGGCTTGAAAGGTCAAAACCAGCACCTTAAACCTGACCCTGTACTCCATCGGGAGCCAGTGCAGTTGGTAAAGCACTGTGTAAGTTTCTGATCACTTCTGTCAAGCGAGCGTTAAGTTGCAGGTCCGCTGCATACAAAAGATCTATTAAAACATACCAACGATCAGTTTGTACAATCAAAACATCACAGCGCAAGACCTTTTTTTAAAAGCAATCTGGTCCCCAAAGCCAGTTGGAACAAGAAAGCCTCTGTCTGCCAGTGGGAGGACAGCAAGGAGGGAGTTCTCTAGGCGGGGAGTTCCAAAGTTGTTTGTCAGCAGCCAGCGCTGAGGAGGCCCTGTCCTGCATCTCTCACAGACCTGCCTGAGAGGGAATCAGGACGGAGAGAGGGGCCTGTGGGGATTTGCTCCAGTGAGCAGATGGAGAGAGGCCAAGGAGCCAGAACCACCCAAGGTTTATTTTATAATTTTGGAAGATTAGGAAGACGATGGTGTGAGCTACTTCATTTAGTCATAGCCACCGTTGAAGTTGCAGCATTTTCAGTTTCCTTTGATGGATTTGCACGTACAATTGACTTTTTCTGCTGTTTTTTTCTAAAAGTAATAAACATATTTTTAAATATATATATATTCATCTGAGGTAGCAAAATTTGATACAGAACAAACAATGAACTATAAAAATGGTTCTAACGTAACAGATGAACTCCTTCACATGGGGCTGCTCTGTGCTCTGTATACCTTTACCTTTTTATCTATATAAAAGAAATGAAGTTATTTGCATGGGCCATTTGAAAGTACAATAAGAAATCACAGGTCAAAAGCGAAATATTTATTTCATAAAATCTGCTTTTAGTCTACTGCTGTTTTTAACTTCTCTAAAACTTTTGAGAAATATTGTTGTCAATTTTTCTCAGTGATAATTTTGTTAGCATTCTGCCCTTCAGCTGAAAATCTCAGGGCTGCTCACGGCATCAAAATACATTATGAGAACAATCAGGTGTATATAAACTTTCCAAAATAAGCTAGATGGAAGTGCCTGGCACTCTGCTCCTCCAGCCTCCGCCTTCCCCTTGCAGGAGCACATGTTCAACCACGTGGGGAGCAAGCCCTACAAGTGCGAAGAGTGCGACTACACCAGTGTCTACAGGAAGGATGTCATCCGCCACTCGGCCGTCCACAATCGTGACAAGTAGGTGTCCTCAGGGGCCCTGGCAGACCCAGGCGGGCAGCAGCGGTGTGGCAGCGGGGCCTCCCCTCCCATGTCCAGGTCACTGAGTGGGTGGCTGCATGTCAGGGGTTCTTCGGCTGACATTCCTGCATTGCAGGGCATTGGGCTAGATGTCCTCTGGGGGTCCCTTCCTACTCTATGATTTTGTGATTTCTCAGTGGCCTCACCTGCTTCTTCTTCCCCTCCTTTTTTTTATTAAAGATTTCAACACAGTAATTTAACAAAAATACATCATCCACATTGTTTCCCCCCCCCCCCAATAGAACACCCCCGGACTTCCCTCAGTTCCTTTCTCTGGTTTCTCAACACATATTTCTGTTTGCATGTTACAAAATTGTAAAAATCCTCAAATTATCTATCTATATATTGCAGTAAAGAGTTTGTGAATGTTTATTCAAAACCTGCCAAAGAGTCCAATTCATTTTGTTACTTCTTCAAATATTTCATAAAAGGTTCCCATTCATCTTTGAAACCAGAGTTAGCCTTGTCATGTAGTTTGTGTGTCAATTTTGCCAGTTCCGCATAGTCTATTGGTTTTTCTTGCCACAGTTCTTTCGTCGGGGTTTCTTCGTTCTTCCATCCTTGTGCTATTAAGACTCTTGCCGCCGTTGTCGCGTACATTAAATTATTTTTAAATTTCTTTGGCAGGTCTTTTCCCACAATCCCTTACAAGAAAGCTTCGGGCTCTTTCACAAATGTTGAATGGAACATTTTCTTTAACTCACTGTATATCATATCCCAAAACATTTTAATTTTACTGCAATCCCACCACATATGATAAAAAGTCCCTTCTTTTTCCTTGCATTTCCAACATAGGTTTGAGCCAGTTTTATACATTTCCCCTAATTGTACAGGTGTTATGTACCACCTATCCTTTGTTTTTGTTTTTAGGAAGAAGCGAGCTGATCCGGTGAGTGTCCTCCTTCGCCTCCACCTGACTCCTGCGTGCGAATCTTCCTTGGTTCCCCAAAGGGGCGTTCCTTGCTGTGTGTGCCCTCATGGACAACCCTGCGAGGGAGGCTGCTTCGGCTTGGGAACCGAGAGGCTGTGACTTGGCAAAGCCACACACAGAGTCCAGAGCAGGAGGGGAGTTTCAGCCCCAGAATAAGGGCCAGCTCTCTGGGCTGAGCATAGCCGGCTGCTCCTCATGGGGTGGGTTGGGGCGTCTCTGTCTCACCTGAGCCAGGCAGTTCTGACCATACTTTAACCTCTCTCTGGGCAGCCCCCCAAGCGCAGTTCCTTCCCCTGCCCCGTCTGCAGCCGCGTCTACCCCATGCAGAAGAGGCTCACGCAGCACATGAAGACGCACAGCACCGAGAAGCCCCACATGTGTGACAAGGTGAGTGTCGAAGCAGGGGGGGCCCTTCTCGCCTGATGCATTGTGCCTGGGCATGGGGGGGCAGGTGGCGAGGTCTGCAGCTGCCGCCCGGCAGCAGCGGCAGAGGAAGCCGCTCAGGCGCCTGGGGTGGCGCGCCCATAGGGGCAGGGAGCACCATGGGGCCTCCGAGGAGTCTGCCTGCCTCCTCCCACTCAGCTGCCCTACAGCTGGGGGGGGGGAGGCAGCAGGGGGACCGTTTGGGGCAGCGCAGAGCCTGCGGGCGCCGAAACCACTGCGTCACTCCCAGGAGAGACGCGTGGCTCAAGCGTGCCGCAGGCCCTGCACTGAGTGCCCCCCGGCATTTTGTCACCCCCCTCAGTGTTGACACCCGGGTTGGACCTGCTAGGATATAGTTCCATTCCACCTTTAGAACAGGCATGTGGAGTTGTTGCATATCACATGTCTGTTTACTTCCGGCACAGTCGACTGGGAACTTCCGTTGTATATTGCTTTTGTCTATACTGCTGTTTGCTTGGACACAAAGGGAAGCAGACGTGTTTTTCCTTTGTTCCTGATGCTTAATAAACGCCTGTAAATATGCTTGCATATGCCTCTGTCCGCCACTTCCGTTGTGAAGAGTTATTCACTCTGCTGATTAGAGCGTTCTCAGTCTCTGAAGGCTTCCGAGGCTCGAGTCGCTGATAGATGCTGTTCCGAGAACCGGAGTTCGCCCGGCTGCCGGCCGGTGGCTGGAGCCAGCTGGGGGCTTGCCAATTGCCCCCATTCCCCGGACGCATCCCAACAGGACCGCCCCCACCGCACCCCCTTCCTCCGCCCCTGCCCTGTGTGACCTGAGCCCTTCCTCTCTCCTGCAGTGTGGGAAGTCCTTCAAGAAGCGCTACACCTTCAAAATGCACCTGCTGACGCACATCCAGCCTGTGGCCAACCGCCGGTGAGCACCTCCTGCATTGCCCTTGCAGGGTGGGGGGAGGAATAACGGGGAGCGACAGCTGTGCACATAGGCCGCCACCCCCCGTAGGCCCACGGTGACGGCCATCTCCTCCCCCTCCTCCCGGGCAGGTTCAAGTGCGAGTTCTGCGACCACGTCTGCGAGGACAAGAAGCTGCTCCTCAAGCACCAGCTGCTGCACATCCACGACAAGCCCTACCGCTGCAGCCTCTGCCCTTACGCCACCGTCCGGGAGGACTTCCTCCTCTCCCACATGGCCGTCAAGCACACAGGTGAGCAGCGCCATCTCATGTCACTGATTACTCAAGTTCACAAGAGAGAAGCACAAGTACCGTATTTTTTGCTCTATAAGGCTCACTTTTTCCCTCCTAAAAAGTAAGGGGAAATGTGTGTGCGTCTTATGGAGCGAATGCAGGCTGCGCAGCTATCCCAGAAGCCAGAACAGCAAGAGGGATTGCTGCTTTCACTGCGCAGCGATCCCTCTTGCTGTTCTGGCTTCTGGGATTCAGAATATTTTTTTTTTCTTGTTTTCCTCCTCCAAAAACTGGGTGCGTCTTGTGGTCTGGTGCAGCTTATAGAGCAAAAAATACAGTAAATGGTTAAACCAGAAGCAACAAGGCAATAACACAAAGACATTTAAAAGGCTATGGAATATGAATCAGCCCAAGGCCTGGCTGAGGAGGAACATTTTCACCGGGCGCCTACAGGTGTGCAATGAAGGCACCAGGCGAACCTCCCTGGGGAGAGCATCCCACAGACGGGGAGCCACCACAGAAAAGGCCTCCCCCTGGACTTCACTTGGAGAAGGCACACAAAGAAGGGCAGAGGCATATTTGGGGGGGCAGGACCAGTCCCCCCCCTTGGCTGGCAGATGGCAGAGAGGACATTGCAGGCAGAGGGCTGGCGCTCGCTCTCCCCTCTTCCTGGGAGGTTTCCAAGCAGAGGTTGGACGGCCGTCCTCCAGAGATTTTTTGGCTGAGATTCTCGCATTGCCGGGGGTGGGACCCGTGGGCCCTCTGCAATTCTGTGTTTAGGACTGTTCAACGGTTGTGAACAGTCCCACTGGGCTTTTTTAGAATCTTGCCTCCTGCAAAAAGGAAGGGGGGCAGACTCTCTCCCCTCCCCCCCTTCCCCCCAGCCAGCCAGGCTCCATCCTCACCCTTCTGCCGCTGTCTCCCCTGCAGGCGGGAAGCCCTTTGCCTGCGAGTTCTGCCACTTCACCACCAAGCACAAGAAGAACCTGCGCCTCCACATCCAGTGCCGCCACGCGGAGAACTTTGGGGAGTGGGTGCAGCGGCACCCGGAGGAGCCCCCCTGCCGCCGCCGCCCCTTCTTCACCCTCCAGCAGATCGAGGAGCTGAAGCAGCAGCACAGTCAGGGCCAGGCGGCCGCGGAGGCAGCGCCCGCCAGCTCCCCCGTGAGTGCCTGGGCATCGCCCCCCCCCCATTCCTGCTGCCCCGTCCTTCCCACCAGCTCTGAGCTGCCCTCTCCTCTTTCTCCCTCCAGCAGGTCACCTACCAGCCTGCCCAAGCCCCGCCTGCTTCAGAGCCCCCCATCCTGACCCAGGAGCCGCTGGAGGCAGCCACCATCATCTACGAGCCAGGTAGGGCGGGGCCCGTCGAGTGCAGCGTCCTCTTCTCACAGGGGCCAGCCAGGTGCCCCACTGAGGAACCCACAAGCAGCAGCCCCCTCCCCTCCTGTGGTTTGCAACACCTGGGATTCAGAAGCCGTTCTGCCTCTGCCTGTGAAGGCAGATCATTGCCATGGTGGCTAGTAGTCAACAATGGCCCTCTCCTCCTCCATGAATTTGCCCAGGCCTCTTTTAAAGCCGTCTAAGCTGGTGGCCATCAGTTCCACAGTTCAACTGGGCCCTGCATGAGGAAGGACTTTCCTTTTTCTTCCCACATTTGGCTTCACTGGATGTCCACAAGTTCCAGTGTCACGAGAGAGGGAGAGAAACTTTCCTCTATCCACTCTTTCCAAGCCATGCAATAATTTTATAAACTTTTGCCAAGTTGCCATTCCTTACTTGCCATTCCCCAAAGCTAAAAGGTCCCAAATCCTGCAATGTTTCTTCATAGGGGAGTCAGGTTTTATTGGTCAACCAAATACCAGTTACAGTGGTACCTCTGGATGCGAACAGGATCGGTTCCATAGACCCGTTCGCAGCATGAAAGGAACGTAAGACGCGACTGCGTCTGCGCATGTGTGGGTCGCGTTTCGCCGCTACCTCACATGCGCATGACGTCATTTTGAGCGTCTGCGCATGCACGAGCAGCAAAACCCGGAAGTAACGCTCAACCTGAAGTTTATTCATCCCGAGGTATGACCGTATAGCCAAAAACAAACATACAAAAACCAGACAGGTCTCAAAAACATACAGCACATAGGCGTCTCACTCCACCCCCCTTGCTAATGTGGGTGGCCCTTTTCTGAAGGCGTGTCCTGGAGCAGCAGGAGGGGAGGGAGAGAGGGAGCGCAGAAGGGACCCTGAAGAGCTTTGAGCAGGTGGTCTCCAATCGTAGTGTCGCCATTCTGCCAGCGTCGGAGGACCCAGCTCCAAAAGAGCTTTTAAGGTCACTGCCTTCCTTGGATGGAACTTGCAGGGTTTCAGCCAGCCTGCCTACAACCCCATACAGTGGTACCTCGGTTCAAGAACAGTCCGGTTTAAGAACGATTTGGTTTACAAACTCCGCAAAACTGAAAGTAGTGTCCCAGTTTGCAAACTTTACCTCGGTCTAAGAACGGAAGCCGAACGGTGGAAGGGCACCGGTGGCAGGAGCCTCATTAGGGAAAGCGCACTTCGGTTCAAGAATGGTTTTGGTTTAAGAACGGACTTCCAGAACGGATTAAGTTTGTAAACCGAGGTACCACTGTACAGTCATACCTCGGGATAAATACGCTTCAGGATAAGTATTTTCGGGTTGCGCTCTGCGGCGACCCGGAAGTAATGGAGCGCATTACCTCTGGGCTTCGCCGCTTGAGCATGCGCAGACAGTCAAAATGACTTCACCCACATGCGCGGAAGCGGCGACACGCGCAGTCGCGTCTTACGTTCTGTTCAGGATGCGAACTGGGGCTCTGGAACAGATCCGGATCGCATCCCGAGGTACCACTGTATTGTTGAAATTGCGCAAGTTGCAATCGTACTTTACTCTCAAGCAAGCCTTCCCTCCCTCCCTCCCTCCCTCCCTCCCTCGTGGCTGGTGAAGGGCGTGGAAATGTCGGGAGCAGGAGCCCAGCTGACCTCCCTCTTGCTCCCCCCGCAGACGTAGAAGGCTCTGCTGAGCTGGCCACACAGACGGCGCTGGACCTCTTGCTGAACATGAGCAGCCAGCGGGAACTGCCTGCCAGCAGCACCCTGGAGGTGAGGCCGGGGAGGCCCTCGCAAGCCCCAGCTCCCTGGTGGGCCCTTCCAGCTGTGCCATGCCCTGACCCACGGCTGCTTTCTGCACCCCCTGCAGGTGGCTGTGGTGAAGGCCGACGGCTTCTCCAAGGTCTCCGAGCCCCAGGGGCAGCCGGAGGAAGAGGAGGAGGAGGCGCAGACCAAGGTGCTGACGCTGCACGTCACAGAGGAGGCAGCCCTGGAGGGCACCGAGATCCAGCAAGTCACCATCCCCTTCAGCAGCACCGCGGAGTACAGCATCATAGCCCCCAGCGAGGAGGAGGCCACCAGCACGCTCTACGGGTGAGAGCAGAGAAGCCGGCCGCCTCCTGGCAGAAGGGCTCTGGCCGCAGGGAGTCGATAGCGAGAGGCAGCGTGGTGCAGTGCTTAGAGTGCCAGACTAGGACCTGGGAAACCAGGGTTTGAATCCCCACTCAGACACAAAGCTCATGTGCCATCTGGCAACCCAGCCAGTTGGGCAGGGAATAATTAACAACAACAACAACAATAATGATGTTTTGTTTATTACTTGGACCAGTCTCAGCCTCACCTACCTCACAGGGTGGTTGTGGAGATTAAATGAGGGAGCTTTGAGCTTCTTGCAGGGAAGGTGAAGGATAAATAAATTGGGGGAGGTAGAAGGTGGGGCTTGCACGGCCTTCTCAGACCAAGGCTCGCTTTGCATTCCTACTGCCCCTGTGGCTTCAAGGTTTTCTCTGGATCCACATGAATAATAATAATAATAATAATAATTTATTATTTATAGCCTGCCCATCCGGCTGGGTTTCCCCAGCCACTCTGGGCAGCTCCCAAAAGATTAACAACAGAATAAAACATCACACACATTAAAAACTTCCCTTCAGATGTCTTTTAAAAATAGGATAGCTTTTTATTTCCTTGACATCTGACGGGAGGGCCTTCCACAGGGCGGGCGCCACCACCGAGAAGGCCCTCTGCCTGGTTCCCCATAGCTTTGCTTCTCGCAGTGAGGGAACCGCCAGAAGGCCCTCAGCACTGGACCTCAGTGTCCGGGCAGAACAATGGGGGTGGAGACGCTCTTTCAGGTATACAGGACCGAGGCTGTTTAGGGCTTTATTTTTTACTTTTTTTTAAATGATATTTATTAAAATTTCAGAAACAAAAAATTACATAGTTAAAGAGAAAAAAAAACAAGGGAAAATATAAAAAAGAGAAAAAACATACACAATACAAAGTATAAAAAATAAAATAAAAAACACTTAAAAACAAATTAATCCTTCCGTATCTTACATTTCATTTCCTTGCTTCCCTGACCTCCTCTCACCTCCCTTTTTTGTATTCCAGTTCAATTGGTTAATTCAGCAATTCCTTTCCCTCTTTGTTTTTGTCTTAGTCCTTTAACTTAGTATATTATAGCTTTAGATTCTCACCTATTAACCATCCATTTTTACATACACCTTTATGACATTGCTGCTAAAACCACTTAACTTCATTCTGACTTCATTCTAACATTCATTAATTTTACAATATTTCTGTAAGTAGTCTTTAAATTTCTTCCAATCTTCTTCACCGACTCTTCTCCCTGGTCTCGGATTCTGCCAGTCATTTCCGCCAATTCCACGTAGTCCATCACCTTCATCTGCCATTCTTCCAGAGTGGGTAGATCTTGTGTCTTCCAATACTTTGCAATAAGTATTCTTGCTGCTGTTGTGGCATACATAAAGAAAGTTCTATCCTTCTTTGACACCGATTGGCCGACTATGCCCAGGAGAAAGGCCTCTGGTTTCTTAGGGAAGGTATATTTAAATACCTTTTTCAATTCATTATAGATCATCTCCCAGAAAGCCTTAATCCTTGGGCACGTCCACCAAAGGTGAAAGAATGTACCTTCAGTTTCTTTACATTTCCAACATTTATTATCGGGCAAATGATAGATTTTTGCAAGCTTGACTGGTGTCATGTACCACCTGTATATCATTTTCATAATATTCTCTCTTAAGGCATTGCATGCCGTAAACTTCATACCTGTGGTCCATAACTGTTCCCAGTCAGCCATCATTATGTTATGTCCAACGTCTTGTGCCCATTTAATCATAGCAGATTTCACCGTTTCATCCTGAGTATTCCATTTCAACAGCAAGTTATACATTCTTGACAAATTCTTAGTTTTGTGTTCTAACAGTTCTGTTTCTAATTTTGATTTTTCCACCTGGAAGCCTATTTTCTTGTCCAAATTATATGCCTCCATTATCTGATAATAATGAAGCCAATCTCGCACTTTGTTTTTTAGTTTCTCAAAACTCTGCAGTTTCAATCTGTCTCCCTCTTGTTCCAGAATTTCCCAATATTTCGGCCATTTGGCCTCCATATTGAGCTTTTTCTGTGCTTTCGCTTCCATCGGTGACTGTTTAGGGCTTTAAATGGCAGCACCAACACTTTGAATTGGGCTCGGAAATGTGCTGGGAGCCAATGCAGATCTCTCAGGAGCGTCCCTGCAGCCGCTCCCAGTCACCAGTCTAGCTGCTGCATTCTGGATTAATTGCAGTTTCTGAGTCGCCTTCAAAGGTAGCCCCACATAGAGCGCATTGCAGTAGTCCAAGCAGGAGATAACCAGAGCATGCACCACTCTGGTGAGACAGTTCGCAGGCAGGAAGGGTCTCATCCTGCATCCCAGGTGGAGCTGGTAGACAGCTGCCCTGGACACAGAATTGACCTGCGCCTCCATGGACAGCTGTGAGTCCAGAATGTCTCCCAGGCTGCGCACCTGCTCCTTCAGGGGCACAGTTTCCCCATTCAGGACCAGGGAGTCCTCCACACCTGCCCGCCCCATCCCCCCAAACAGTACTTCTGTCTTGTCGGGATTCAACCTCAATCTGTTAGCCGCCATCCGTCCTCCAAAGGATGAAATTTGGGGTGATTGAAAGGCCACCCTCACCACCCTGGACTCACCCTTCTGCCTCTCTAAGGGCCTGCAGGGTCAGGAAAGTGGCCCACCTGGGCCAGCATCCTGTTCTGGCAGAGGCCAACCAGACACCCCCAGTGGGAAACCCACAGACAGGATCCGAGCTCAAGTAGCAGCCCCCTCCTCTCCTGGGGCCTCCAGCAACTGGCCTTCCGAAGCATCGGCCATCAATCGGCCTCTGCTCCTCCATGAGTTTGTCCGATGTCTCTTGGCAGGGAGGGGGAGAGTGCCAGCGATGTCGTCCGGGCGGTGGTCAGAAGCTGCACCCTGAAGGATGCCACAACTCCCAGCAGCACGCCAGAGAGCCAGCAGCACACCGTGGAGGTGAGGAGGAGGAGGAGGAGGAAGAAGGGGCCTGTCTGTCGCCCAGGGAGGAGGGAGGCCAGCCCAGCCCCGGGTCCAGGAAGTGCCGCTCTAACCAGCCTCCCTCCTGTTCCTGCAGATGAGTGGGGAGCGGCCAGAGGCCCAGTGCAGCGTCCCGTGGCCTCTGGTCCAGTGCCTAGCCTGGCCGGCCCACAAGGCCGTTTCGCTGGCCCCCGCCGATCAGGAACCGGCCCCCGGCAAGGGCAGGCCTCCCGCCAGGCAGGGGGCACCCAAGCAGGCCTCCGGCAACGACGCTTCCCCCAAGAAGCTGCCGGCAGCCCCGGCGGGCAAGGTGCCCTCAGCCAAGAAGTTCTCCTGCAAGATCTGCATGGCAACGTTTGCGGGCCGAGCGGAGATGGAGAGCCACAAGCGTGCCCACGTCGGACCCAGCGCCTTCAAGTGCCCCGACTGCCCCTTCACGGCAGCTCTGTGGCCTGACGTCCGGGTAGGTGGAGGGGGGGTCCCTTGCAAACGGAGGTGAAGGGGGCAGGACAGCTGGGAGGTGCCCACAGCGCTGCGGCCAGAGGAGAGAGGCCTGGCACAACTGCCGCTCTCCCCGGGTGGCAACGGGGAGGCAGAAGGGCAGGCTGCAGTTGGAGAAGCCCCTGCGCCCCCAAGCTGAGAGGAGAGGGGAGTTGGGGTGTCCCTGGGTCAACCTTCAGTGACACCTTCCGCAAGAGAAGGTCTGAAGGTCCCCATTCAGGGCCACTTAGCTCTGTGGGGGGGGGGGGTATTAGACGATTTGGGGAGGGCTCTGATGGACTATGCGGAATTGGCGTGATAAACTGCGTGACAAGGACAACTGTGACTTTAAAGAAGAATGGGAACCTTTTACAAAGTACTTACAGAAACAACAAAATGAACTGGACTACTTGGCAGGGTTTGAATAAACCTTCACAAACCTTTTATTGGTAACATAGAGATAGATAAATTAAGGATCTTTACAATTTTATAATATGCAGAGAATAACGTGCTGAAAAATCAAAGGGAGGAGTCGAGGGAAGTCGGGGGGTGGGGGGAGGGTGGGATTTTCTTTGGTGGGGTGGGGGGGAATGAGGATGATGTGTTTTTGGTAAATTGTTATGTTGAAATTCCTAATAAAAAATATTTGGGGAGGGCTCTTTCCTGGGGGGAGAGAGGCTGGGCAAGTGGCTCATCTGAATTGTGGGAGTTGATTTAGGGAGCTGCCCCAGGGGAGGGCGAGGAGGAGGGGCCCCCACGCCCTGACCTGGCTTCTCCCCCCCCCCAGACCCACATGGAGCAGCACGCCAGCCTCCGGCCCCACAAGTGCCAGCACTGCAGCTTTGCCTCTAAGAACAAGAAGGACCTCCGGCGCCACACCCTGACGCACACCAACGAGAAGCCCTTCGCTTGCCACGTCTGCGGGCAGAGGTGGGCGAGGGCCGCTGCCGCCAGCATGGGGGGGGGGCATTTCCCTTCACAGCAGAGCCACCCTAGGGGAGCAGGGAGTCAGCTCCCCACCTCAGTCTCTCCACTCTTCTCTCCTCCGCAGGTTCAACCGCAACGGGCACCTGAAATTCCACATGCAGAGGCTGCACAGCGCAGAAGGGGGGAAGCCGGCGCCTGAACTGGCCCCCAGCGCCTCCCAGACCATCATCCTCAACAGCGACGACGAGGCCCTGGCCACGCTGCAGAGTGAGCAGAGCAGAGGCTCCGGCCCCCTTCCTCTCCCCGCTGCCCATCGGCCACGGGGCGGGCAAAGGGCACGTCTCTGCTCCTCTGGAGAGCCCCAAAGGGGGGGAGGCAGAAGTGCAAAATGGCGCTGTGCACGGCCAAGACCACTGGTTCCCCAAGCGGGGTTACCGAGAGGGGTGCTAAGGGGCAAGGGGGCAGCGGGGGGGCCACTGGAGGGCAGCCCTCCAAGCACATCCATCGCCTACATAGGATTGAGCAGGCCAGAGCCTTGACTAAAACACCTTCCCTGCTTCGTATTTCAAGTTTTACTGCTCTTTTCACTTTCAAGTCTATTTCCTTTGGTCACAAATGGACACGTTTACAGTTCTGAGTTGTCATAGGATGGCCCATAATTGGCAACAGCTATTGATTTTCTAATAAATTAGTTAATGTACCCCTGTGGTAGGTGAGTGATTGCACCTGTTTGGCAAGCAGCTGCATACGTATTTCCTTCACCCTTACTTTGCCGTTAGTCAGAATGCATACAAATAATTTACAATGCAAGTTTTTGGGGGTTTTTTGCCTTCGCACTCTTCTGAATAGTGCTTTCCAGGGGGCACCGGGAGTGAGTTTGTGGAATCAAGGGCACGGTGACCCCCAAAACGTTTGGGGAACTTGCAGCCTCTTGCATGTGGGAGACCATTTCTGCCCCTGTGAAGACGGCAGCGGTATGCCTGCCAACCACACTCACCAGAGCGCGCGCTCTCTCTCTCTCTCCCTCCCACCCCAACAGCGACCCTGCAGTCCGGCCAGGCTGTCCTGGCTCCGGAGAGGCTCCAGCAGGCCCTGGGGCAGGAGCGCATCCTCATGACGCAGGAGCAGAGCGTCCCCAGCCAGGTGAGGGGGGCAAGCAGGCCAGAGCCCCGGGTCCTCTCCCTCCAGGCTTCTGCGGCCTGCATCTCCTTCCCGTGTGAATCTGGGGTGGGGCGGCAGTGGTGGGTCTTGGGGCCCAGAGCTGAACCCCCTTGCGTCTCTTCTCAGGAGGATGCTGCCTACATCCAGGAGATCGTGACGACGGCAGACGGGCAGATGGTGCAGCACCTGGTGACGGCAGAGAACCAGGTAGGGCAGTGGCAAGGGGGGGCTGGGGGGGCCGGAGCTGGCCTGGCAGGAACTGCCTCAGGGCATTCTTCTTCACGCAGCGCACAGTTAATTGTACGTTTCCAAGCACAATTCAAAGTGTTGGTGCTGACCTTGAAAGCCCTAAATGGCCTCAAAGGGCCAGTAGACCTAAAGGAGTGTCTCCACCTCCATCGTTCTTCCCGGACACTGAGGTCCAGCTCCCAGGGCCTTCTGGTGGTTCCCTCCCTGCGAGAAGCCAAGTTACAGAGAACCAGGCAGAGGGCCTTCTCAGTAGTGGCGTCCGCCCTGTGGAATGCCCTCCCACCAGATGTCAAAGAGAAAAATAACTACCAAACTTTTAGAAGACATCTAAAGACAGCCCTGTTTAGGGAAGCTTTTAATGTTTAATAGGTTATTGTATTTTAGTGCTTTGTTGGAAGCCGCCCAGAGTGGCTGGGGAAACCCAGCCAGATGGGCGGGGTATAAATAATAAATTATTATTATTATTATTATTATTATTATTATTACTCCTGCAGCACACAGTGACGGCCACCAGCCTTTGAAAGAGGCTTTTTCATGAAGGAGAGCCAGCTGTGCCTCCACGGCCAGAGGCAGCAATGCCTGTTTCTGGGCCCCCCAGGAGGAGAGAGGGCTCTTGGGCTCGCATCCTGCTTGCAGTCGAAACAAAATAAAAAAACACCTTCCAGTAGCACCTTAGAAACCAACTAAGTTTGTCATTGTACGACCTTTTGTGTGCATGCACACTTCTTCAGATACGGTATCGGAAGAAGTGTGGTATCTGAAGAAGTGTGCATGCACACGAAAGCTCATACCAAGAGCAAACTTAGTTGGTCTCTAAGGTGCTACTGGAAGGAATTTCTTTATTTTGTTTCGACTACGGCAGACCAACACGGCTCCCTACTGGTATCCTGTTTGCAGGTTTCCCTTTGGAGCGTCCTGTTGGCATCAGCTGTGAGGAGAGGGTACTGGGTCAGGTGGGCCCCCCTTGGCCTGATCCAGCACACTCTCCAGACTCCTCTTTCTATGCCTTCCTGTTGCGTTCCAAAGGCAAAGGAAGGATTGGACCCTGATTAATAAAATAGGCACGAGGCTTGGCCAGCAAGACTCTGGGAGGAAGTGCCAAAAATAATCTGCCACACCCTGGCCCAGGTCCCTTTTATTAACGAAAGAACTTTTGACACAGAGTTTGTAAGAACCCATCAGGTTTCCTCTGAGCATTTAAAAAAAACCCCACGTGGGACAAAGTTAGATCAGAGAAATCCTTTTAACTACAAAGAACTAATTTGAGCACGCATACGTAAAACAGGAACTAAGGAGGAATGCATTTAGCAAACGCCGGAGGTGATAAACAGGCAGTAAACAGGGAAGGAAGGAAATATTTTCCATCTCCTTGTGAACTCTCTTCCTGGCCCTTAAGATCTACCTAAAGATTAACAATCTACATCAAAATTATCTCCTATCTTTATGGCCCAGGATGCCTGGTGAAGCAACCGGTCTGTGTTTTAGAATGCTTATACGTGCCTGTCAGGCAGAGAGAAAATGGGCAGCAGAGAAAATGGGCAGAGATGGAGAGGCTTGTGGGATTTGATCAGAAATTATTGTCAGTGACTCAAGCCCAGTCAAGCAATGCTTTCATCGTGGACACAATGGCTTGCTGCATTTTTCATGATTCCTCATCGCAGTCCCACCTGACCCCCACACCTTCCCTTCCAGGTCCAGTACATCATCACCCAGGATGGCGTTCAGCACCTCCTGCCTCAGGAGTACGTGGTTCTGCCCGGGACGCATCACATCCAGGTGAGACCCGGGGCTGGAGCGGCAGGCAAGGGAGTGGTTGCCTCCTTCCTTCCTCTCCCTGCCCCCTGCTCACCAGATCAACCCACCTTTCTCTATCCCACCCCCCGCCTCTCCGTCTCGCTTTCCAGGTGCAGGACGGCCAGATCACCCACATCCAGTACGAGCAAAGCGGTCAGTTCATGCAGGAGCCCCAGGTAGGAGGGAGGGGGCGTTTGGCAGGCCCTCTTCCCACTCCATGTGTTTGTAGCAGGAGGGTTTGGTAGCTTATGGGGCTGGGGTGTCTTTTTGGGGAGGGGCAATGCCTCCCAGGGCTGCTGCCCACCCTGCCCGCTTCTTCCCCCGCAGATCCAGTATGTCCCTGTGTCGCCAGGACAGCAGCTCCTCACGCAAGCTCAGCTGGAGGCCGCGGCCCATTCTGCAGTGACAGGTGAGTACAGAGCGGGGGGAAGGGGGGGCTGCACATCCTCTGCCCGCGTCTCTCAAACGTGGGTCCCCTGCTGCTGTTAGACTACAACTCCCATCAACCCAAGCTAGCAGGACCAGGGGTCAGGGACGATGGGAGTTGTGGTCCACATTATCCGGAAAGGGCCAGCTTCGTTCAGTCAGCTCATGGAGCAAGAATGCAAATGGCGCCTGTTTAGTTTGCACAAGTTGCAGAATTTGGGCTGGGAGGGGGCACATTCTGCCTCTTGCTCAGCTGCCCCCTCCTGCCCCTGGTTTAACTGACCCCCAACGCAGCTTCTTCTCTCTCTCTAGCGGTGGCTGATGCTGCCATGGCCCAAGCGCAGGGCCCGTTCAGCACAGACTGCGCCGCAGACCAGATCCACGAGCTCCAGCCGGGGGTCCACTATGACATCATCACGTTGGGAGACTAGCAAGGGGGACCTCGTCCTTCCCCTACCCCACCCCCCAAGCATGGACCTCTGCTTCCTCTTGGCTCTACGGGGGATGAGAGGGGGCCTGGCTGCGTTGGTGAGCAGGATCAGCACCCTGTCTGGATTGTGCCTTCGCGCCACGACCAGGAACGCTCAGTGTGCCCTTGCCTCTCGGAAGGAGCTGCTCCCTGGGGCCTGGCAGGCCCAGCTGCCCCCACCTGCCTGCCTGCCAGTGGCTGAACTTGAAGCTGTGGGCGCTTGAGCGCCAACTGTAGGCCTGTGGGGGGTGGGGGCGCCTTCCCCCCTGGTGTGGGGTGTTGCTTTGCTGGCCTTGACGGCGCCTCCCAATAAAGGCACAGGACTGCCTGGAAGTGAGATCTGTGTTGGCGCTGCCTCTTCCTCTTCCTCCTCCTCCTCCCCCCTCCGTCCTTTGTCTTTGCCACCTGCTCAGGTGACCTTGACTCTGGCCAGCCATCACCCCCCCTTTCCCCCACCCCTGGAATTAACCAACTGGTGAACAGGCTAAATCCCGTGTAACTCTCCCTCCAGTACAACCGCTGTCTCCCTGAGCCCGTCGCTTGGCAGTTGTTTACATGGGATTATAACAGCTAATCTGGGGCTTTAAGGAGGGCCATTTTGCATTATACTGATTATCTTCGGGGGGGCAGGGTGGTGACCCACCCAACTTCCGCAGGAGGACACAGGCAGCTTCTCGTTCTCTTGCAGGAGGGGTGAGCAGGCTGCCAGTCAGGGTAACAGACTGAGAAAGGTCCCCGTCTTCCTGCAAGCCCACAGCCTGGCCTCTCCTCACTGTGGACTGAATGGGGAAAGGGGTTTCAGATCAGGGAACCAAGGGGGCGGAGCGTGGCCCGTTTCGGGGGCAGGAAGCTGGACAAGGGGCTTCTTGTTGCAGGTGTTCTGCTTGAGCGCCATGGGGAGGGTGCTGGTGCCCCCAGGATCCTGGAAATGTAGGGCACCCCAGATGTGGTTCCTGCCCGGCCGGTCGGCTCCAGCTGTGCCCTGGCATTGTAGCAGGTGCTGGGGGCGGCGGCATTAGGGCCAGCTCCAGCTGTGTTGGGCAAGCGGGGCTTGCGCCTAGATTACAGGCCATTATCTAATAAAGCCGGATTGGCGCACAGCATGCTCATGATCAGGGCGGTGGCAAAGAGTCCTCTGGGGACAAGGTCACGGCCACCAGATGTGGAGGATGCAGCCGCCAGGCAAGGCGAGAGCCCCCGGGAGCTGCCACAGCCCTTCCCAGGCCCCCTCTGAGATGTTGCTGCCAGGTAAGCAGAGGGCAGAAGGAGGCCCTGTCCATCCTCAGCGGCCCTTTCCTGTGCCAGGTACACGTGGGCACCTGTGCCAGGGGTGTAGAGGAGCGTGTTGTGAGGAAACTCTGGTTGGCTTTTACAGGTATCCTCAAGGTCCACTGTGGATTTAGAGACATAAATGGAGGATGCCAAGGTAGCAAGGCAAGCTGCTGATCTCCTTGGTCTGTTGCAAGAGTCTTTCCCCCTCCCTTGCAAGGAGGTGGTGAGCCCAGAAGAAAAGCAGTCTACAACATCCTGACAAGTCTGTCAATCAAGATGCCTGGCAATACCCGACAATGGCTGTTCCCGGCCTGTCATCCTTTTGAAATAGGGAATACTTTGCCTACAGAATCCATTGTCAATGACCTGCTTCATTCCTACATGGATACCTGCTCTTTTCACTGGTCAATTCGGCCATTCAACAGCTATTGGTCAAGCTGGTTCAGGGAGGGCGACCTGTCAGGAATTTCCAGCTGCGTGACTTGAGGGGGTCTCTGAGGTTGGCTGGGCTAAACACGGCTGCTGTGTTGCCCTCGGCACAATTTCAGACGTGGCTGATTTGAACTGATTCCTTATATTTTAATGCTGCTTTTATTTCACATGAATTGCAAAGTGGCTTACAAACAGTAACAATTGATGTTGTTGTTTAGTCATTTAGTCATGTCCGACTCTTCGTGACTCCCTGGACCAGAGCATTCCAGGCACTTGTCTTCCACTGCCTCCCGCAGTTTGGTCAAATTCATGCTGGTAGCTTCTATAACAATGTCCAACCATCTTGTCACAATTGATAGAACTTCACAAATTCACTTATGAGCATACATTTTATTTATGACACCTTATAATTCTTACAAGAAGTACATGCACCCTTGTGGCTATTTATGAGCTCTTGTGCCAATGCAGAGCTTCTGTGCCTGCGTGCGCCTTGAGAACTAGAAACTTGGAGGTGATGCACATTTTCTCCCTGCTGCATGCTCCAGTTCAGAGATGTGGCAAAAGGTGGTTAGCCTTGTACGCAGGAGAAGATCCTGGGTCCCATCCCTGTAGGGAACCCCTGAGCACACATACCCTAAGTAGAGATGGCTCAGTCAGGCCAGTGGCCCATGTATAAGGGACGCGGGTGGCACTGTGGTCTAAACCACTGAGCCTCTTGGGACTTGCCGATCAGAAGGTCGGCGGTTCAAATCCCAGCGACGGGGTGAGCTCCCGTTGCTCAGTCCCAGCTCCTGCCAACCTAGCAGTTCAAAAGCACATCAAGTGCAAGTAGATAAATAGGTACCGCTCCGGCGGGAAAGTAAACGGCGCACGCCGTTGCACCAGAAGCAGTTTAGTCTTACTGGCCACATGACCTGGAAAGCCTTCTGTGGACAAACGCTGGCTCCCTTGGCCTGAAAGCGAGATGAGTGCTGCAACCCCAGAGTCGCCTTTGACTGGACTTAACTGCCTTTACCTGAAGTGGCTCATGTAGCCCAGCCTGCTGTTGTCACAATGGCCAACCCAATGCAAGCAGGATCACAAGCACAAGCCCCTCCCCTCGCTTGCGCCCTTGACTGTGGAGGCAGAGCAGAGCCATCTTGCTCTCATCCTCTTTTAAACCTCTCTGCCTCCTGCAGCAGGGAGTTCCTCAGTTTATGCACTGCAGGAAGGACTTCTTTTCATCCGCCCGGAATCTTCCACCCTTCAGCTTCACTGAGCGCTCCGGAGTTCTAGTGTTAGGAGAGAGGCAAGAAAACTTCTCGATCCTGCCTTGCGTAATTTTACAAACTTCTGAGCCTGCACATCTTGCTGGACCACAGCTCCATCATTCCTGGCTCATGCTCCCCCCCCCCCCGACTAAACGGCACTTAATGGGCCAGCGCTCTAAACTGGGTATCTGAGCAGGTTCCTTTTCTCTTGACTTGTGGCATCCCTCCCCTCGCCCAGTGATGCCCGCATTGCCCCAGGGCGCGTAGGACTCTGCTTGCATGTCCTAGTCCACCCAAGGCACATGCAACCGCGTAGGGGGGGAGCTTTCCTTCCGGCTCAGGGTCCCCCCCGCGTGCGCTTTAGAAGCCCTTCAGGCGCGTTGGCTCTCCTGCGCCGTCCTTCTACTGGGACCTCCTCGGGGCAGCGACACCGGCACTTTCGTAGCCGGACGGTGCCCGGGAATGCGCTGGGTTCAAGGTGGGGTGTGCCGGGGTGTCCCCTCCAGCTCCGTCCCAACCTCTCCAGGCCGGGGAGCCTTTGCGCCCGTCCGAGCGGACGGAAAGGAGACCGGGAACGGAAAGGTCTCTCTCGCGCTCTCGTCCCGCCCTGGAGGCCGTCGGGGGTGGCTTCGGGATTTCGCAACCGGCGGCACCGGGAGGAGGAGGAGGAGGCTCCCGGGAGTTTGGAAGCGCCGCCTGCTGGGTCCTGGGGCGGATGCGCCGCTCCGGAGTGACGCTCCTCCGGGAAGCGCCGCGACGGGCGGGGAAAAGGGCCGGGAAGTCGCCGCCGCCGCCACCCGGCCATCCTCCTCGTGCCCCTCGACGGAGGGACCTTCCCGGGAGCCGCCTTAAGCGGGTGCGTGACTCTTCTGAATATCCGGAGAGAAGGCAAATGGATCCGGCAGGGAGCCAGGCGGCGCGCCCCGGGCTCGACGGCGCCGCTGCGGACCCGCTCCTCCTCCCGCGGCGAACAGCTGCCTGCTGAGCCTGCCGACGGGAGAGCAGCGCGGCCAGGAGGGCTTGGCACGCGGGGAAGGGCGATGGACGGGGCGAGCGCCCTGCCTGGCTGCCTGGCTGGCTGCGTCTTGTGCGCTCCGGCGCTGCGCCTCTTGCTGCGCTCCGCCCCAGAGCGGCATTAGGGGCGGTGAACGGGGTCCGGGAGCTGCCGGCCTGGGCTGGAGCACGTGGGGTGGGGAAGGGGCTCGCTCCCTCACCCCCCCCCCCAGTGCAGGGAAAGGAAACTGGCTGCCTGGTGCCAAGTCAAGAGGGCGGCCCCCACCTCTCCAGAGGGGCCTCTTCGCCAGCCCTGCCTGGGAATGACTGAAAGCGTTCGGTCTACCCCTGAACTATGACTCATTCCCAAGCAAGCAAGGATTCTAGTCCTCATTATTCTGAGTAAAGGGGCGAAGCAGTGGGAACGTAAAACGCTGCCTTGTAGCAAGTCAGTCCTTTGTCTAATGACTGGCAGTGGGGGGTGGCAGGCAGGGGTCCCCCCCCCCCGCCCCCCCTGGAGATGCTGCCATTGGGGGTTGAGTCCCAGGCCTCCTGCAAGCAGAGATGGATGCTTTGCAACTGAGCTGTGGTGGCCCCTGCCCTCCTCCTCATCCGCTGCTGACAAAAACAGGATGCTGCACTGAATGAGGCGACTTCCTTCTCTCTCTCTCTCTCTCTCCCCCCCCCATTATCCCATCCACTGGTGCTTAATCCATGGTGCCTGATTCACACGGGCACTTGTGAACCCTCTCAGCCTTCTTTCTATATTTTATTTAGCCCGCAAAGTCTGTACAATGCTCAGTTGGAAAAGAAAAGCTCAAAGCAGTTCACAAGAAAATGATCAAATTATCAGTAAGAAAAAAATAACAAACAATAATTTAAAACTTTTAGGGAGCTGAAGCAGCCATAGACTAAAAACAGCGGCATCAGTGGTCTAAGGACCTTGAGTCCCCAGATGCCACATTCTGGCACAATTTGTTTGTTTGTTTGTTTTGTATAACACCCTGATTAGGTAGAAATCCCCATAATCCACAAATGAAGTATTGAAATAAATGTTTGTCAATACAGGGAAGAGAGCCGGGGGTCTTAAGTGCATAGCAAATTTGTGCCAGGGGACAGCTAAGAGGGTGTTGCTAGAAAAGCTGTCTTGTTTTGCAGGAGAAGCGTCTTACTGTGGCAACTGTTCCAAAGTCGGAGGGGCACAGAAGACCAGCCCCCAGCAGGACATCTGTCCAGCCGTCCAGTCGCTGTGGGACTCCTGAGAGTCTCCGTGCCGGCGAGACATGTCAGCCCCTCAGATCCTGGTCACTGTCTGCGATGACGGGGCACCGGTAGGTTTCCTGGGCCCCTGGGGCTTCTGATCCTCAGGAACTGAAAGCGGGTAGCTGGGGAAGGAGCTGCGGTGGGCTTGCCTCATAACTGTGGGGTGAGGACGGCCGCTTGCTCTGCCAAGACACTAAATCAGAGGTTGCCTGTTGCCAAAGGCCCCAAACTATAGAATGGTTGAGTTGGAAGGGACACCAAGGGTCATCTAGTCCAACCCCCTGCAATGCAGACGTCTCAGCTAAAGCATCCATGTGAGATGGCCCTCCACCTTCTGCTGAAAAACCTTGTTATGGAAATTACGGGGGAGGGGCACATCTTTAAAGTTGTTAAATGTTACAAATATTATGCCTGAATGTATCCTTTCGACTTGACAGCTCAGGGAAGTTACCTAGCTTTAACAATCATATGTAGTCAACTCCTTTGCCAGTTTCCTCCATTTCAACACTATTCCGCCCTTGGAAAAAGGATCTTTTCCCTGCTGCCACCTCCCCAAGCGTGAAGACGTGTGTACACACCTCCTACCCCAGGAAGTGCCCAGAGGTGACAATCGCTGAGCTGATTGTTGGCCAAGGAAAGCCTAACCCCATCACCGGACTTGCCGAGGGGTCCAGACATGCAAAGGAAGTTCTATTGGACTTTGGGTGGTGGGACTTCAGAGGTCTTTGCCTATGTTAATCTTATACCTGAGTCTTGTCCTGCCATGTCTGCTAATACTAATCTTGTACCAAAGACTTGTCTGGACATGTTTGCCAAGGTGGAACTAGTGTAACCCCCGTCTACCCCTCCCCTTTTGTGACATATCAGTGATGTAGCAATGATGCTGTACGAACTGTATTCTGGGATATGGTGGGAAAGTTTTGAAAGTCCTTGTCACCCCATCCTCGGGGTTCAAATTTGCTTTTGAACCTATTGCGCAATAAACTTTGGTCTACAGCTATTTGCTCCGGTTGGTGGCTGGACTCCTTCCTTCATTCCGCAGGGACCCGCGGGCTCTGCCCGACCAGCTGGGGGACTGAGCAGCCTCACACCTAGATTTTTCTGTAACAACCTCCAAGGCAAGGAAGGAGAGTCCGCCACCTTCCAAAGGAGTCCATTCCGCTGTCAAACAGCTCTTGCCATCTTCCTAATGTTTAACCTGAATCTCCTTTCATGCCATTGGAATTGGTCGGTTCGAGTCCTGCCCTCGGGAGCAGGAGAAAACAAGCCGGCTCCATCTTCCATGGGACAAATTCTCATGGGAACTCCAGGAGGGGAGAGGGCTGCTCTTTGGCAGGTGACCCTTTGGGTTGGCCGCTGTAGGAGAATGGAAGGGCCAAGGTCCTGCTGAGCGGGTGCTGGGCTGCCCCCCTGCCTGGGGTCCCAGCCTGGAGAGAGGGAAAGCACCTGGCAGACAGGCAGGATGGTGCTCAGGACCACGACTGAGCACCCCCTGGCCTTCAGCCTGCCTCTTTCCAGCTCAGCCCCTCTCATAAGCTCCTTAGCCACTGGCGGCAATCACTTTCTCGTGTTAATAGGATCATGGCGGATCAGGGAGTCTGCCTCCACGCAGGGAGCGGGCGCAGGGCACCCACGTCTGGGGCAGCACCTCTGGGCAGGGGAGCTCTCTTTGGGGTGGGGAGGTGGCAACTCAGCATCCGTGCCCCATTCCCTCCTCTCTTTCCCCATTGCAGCCCCAGCCGGACCGAGACGCCGCAGACGACGGGGGTGGCAGTGGCCCGGGGGTCTCCAGCCCAGTGGCGGTGAGTGATGGGGGCTGGTGACTGATGGGGCCAGAAAGGGGTCAGGTGCTTCTGGGGAGAAGACAGGGGACTCTGCGTGGGGCTGGTGGAGATCCTGCAAGAGGGGGGACTACTGGATTAAGACAACGGCTCACAACACAAATCCATAAAGGCAACACAGTCAAAACATACAGAAAACTTAAGAAATGAGCCTCAGTGGGGAGACTGAGAGGGTCTTCCTCCTTCCAGCTGGAGCCCCTGGAGAAGGAGTGGCTGCAGGCAGCGGCCGGGGGCCACGTGGCCACCCTCAGCCACCTGCTCCAGCAGGACCCCACCCTCACCGCCAAGAAGGTAAGATCGCCCAGCGGCTGGGCCCCTCGCAGTCAGTGCCCAACTTGGCCAGCCCAGGCCGGTTCCAAGGGAGGGAGAGGCGAGAGAGCAAGACTTGAGGCCAGCTGGTTCTCCCTGCCTGGGAGAGTCCAGAGGCCTGCAAGGAAGGGGCGGTCTGGCCCGGGCACCCAGCGTCCCCTCCCTCTGCCAAGGAGGGCCTGCTGCTAGATTGGGGGGGGGAATGGGGGTGCCAGAGGCGGATTTAGGGCAGCGCAACTGGTTCCCCTGCTCAGTGGTGGAGCTTCATGCTCTGGCACTGGGGGGGCAGAGAGCAGGCAGGGGCGGGGCTGGTGCCCATCCTGGGGGCATGGCGCGCCACCTGTAAGGGCATGGCACGCATCCTGGGGGCCTGGTGTGCCACCCATAGGGGTCCGGCACCCAGCACGGGTGGGGGGGCAGCAGCGATGGCTCCCCGTTGGGATCGTGCTGCCGGGGGCGGTGCGCTCCCCCCGCACGCCTCTTCCTCCGCCAGTGCCCCTGCTCTGGGTGCTGAGCCCGGGGGGCACTGCAGGGCGTTGCAACTCTGCTGTAATGAATTGAGCAGAACGGAAGAGACGGGGGTCGGGGTCAATGGGTTTTGGCCTTGCACAGGGCACTGTTGAAACTGGAAAGACCCCAGTCCGCCTCTAGGATCACCTGCATCTGAAGGGGCTCCCTCGTGCTTGCCGCCCTCCCGGCGCTGACTTGAGCCCCTCTTTTCTCTCCCTCCCGTGACGCTCCGGCTGCTGCTTCCAGGATTTCACCTCGGTGAGTGTGAATGCTGTCCTTGATCTTGTACTCTGGGGCTGAGACCCACACCGAGGGGTGTCTGGTTGTCTGTCTTGCCCAATGCCAGGCGGTTCTTTTAAAATGAGATTCAGACAAACACAAGTGAGTGAGAAGATTAAAGATTTTCTTCTAGACAGCAGGCATTACATACATTGCCAAGCAAGTACCTCAATCTGCCACTTGGAAGCCCTCAAGAAGTGGCAAAGGGACTCCCCCAGGTAGCCTCAGTTTGCAGGGCCCTGCGATCAATCAGTCCATGCAGGAGCTTCTAATAACTATACCCAAACCATCCGATTTATAGATACCTAGCCTGTTAGCTTGTGTGGCTTGCCTGACTGCCTACATGCTACTAGCTATGTACAGATTATTCATTAGCCACCTCTCTCAATGCCTTACTTTCTTCAAACAATGTCTAACATCAGAAGCAGGTACCCAGCAATATCACTTCCTTCCCTTCTTACAGATTAGGGTGCTGAAAGGCTGTTCTTCAGCCATCCAAGAGCTGGACAAGAGAGAGAGAAGGGAAGCAAACAGAGGCAGGAAGGGAACCACGTTAGAGCGCTATCTCCTCCAAATACAATTATCTTCCGGGTAGATTGCTCTGTGAGAAGAGGATGCTGGACCAGGTGGGCCACTGGTCTGATCCTGCAGCCTCTTCTCATGTTCTTCTTTGGGAGCCCAAGACTTCTCGGGGGGCTGAGCCCACACAAACAGAGCTTTGGAAAGAAGCAGCCGCGGTCCTGGATCAAACAAACCCCTGTGTTGCAAAGAGAACGTCAGCAATGTTATGGTTTGAAGGAATTCTATAAAATATTGTTTATTGCATATGTACACAGTCATCGTGTTGCCTAGACATTGCTGCCGGTCCTGGATCCGCCAGCCAGCCTTCCCTCACCTGGAGAGTGCAGAATTGGCCCCCCAGTTGCCCCCCAGCCACCATGTCTCACCTGGTCAGGAAGGGGGCTGAGGCCGTGGGCCTTCTGCTCTGCAAAGGGTTCAGCACCAGATTGGCTGCTAGAAAGACCCATGGGGGGGGTGAGCCTGGCAGACGGGGCCCCATTCAGGCAGGTGCTCCCACCTGGAATGGGGTCTCCATTGCAGACTGGGGGGGGGCACTTTGTGCTTTAATTCTAAGCCGTGTGGCTCCCGGCAGGGTCATGTTGGGCCTCCACATCTTCCTCCTCTTGGGGTCCTTTGTGGGAGGGGGGGACCCAAGTCCCCTTGCAATGTTTCTGCCCCCCACCCTCCCAGCCATCCGGGGGGGGGGATCCCTACTGCAGCCCTGGGTGCGTGAGTGCCGGCTGTGGGTGTGACACTCTGCACATGTTCAGAGGGCTTCAGGATGCACCGCGTGGCTCTAACGCTCCCTTCTCTCTCTTTCCCTCCCCCATTGCCAAATCTGCCGCCTGGCCCTTCTCCTCCCGCTCTGCTCAGGGGGTAAGTCTAGACCCAAGTGGGTCAGGTCGCCTTGGCGTAGCTCTGGGGGGTCCCCTCCTGCCTCAGGCTGTCTGTCCTCCTGATGGGCACTGTCTCTGAGACCCAGTGCCCTGCCTGGCACACTGCCGCTCTTTCTGTTTGGGGTGCTCTCTGCTTGTGACCCCCCCCACCCCACAGCCTCCCACCGTCTGTGTTTGGGGGGGGGAGATTCTCCCTGGGAACTGGGGTCTCTCCTGGGTGGGGATTTTAATGACTCTGCTTCTCTTCTACGGTTGCTGCTGCTGCTGCTGCTGCTGCTGCCTGACCTGACACAGTTCGTAAGTATTTGGTCCCAACTACTAATTTCCTCCCCTTACCCCTAAATGCCCCCTTCTCCTCCCCAGAATCCTTCATCTCACTTTGCAGAGTTAAACTATGGAACTCCCTCCCACTGGATTAAGTGTAGGCCGCCCACCGATATGGCACAAAGTGACATGCATTCATCATTTTATTTGCATGCCACCTTTCCATAGTTAGAACCGTGCTCAAGACGGCTTACGGGGGGTGGGGACGGGGGACAGAAATACAAACATGGCAGAAGTAGTCATGAACAAAAAATAAAAAGTGCACAACCAAATTAAACAATCTTCACATAAATCGTAACATCTAAAATAAAGATACAAAACAGCAACTGTCCCCCAGGAGAAAAACCCCAAGCCCAGCCCAGCCCAGCTTTTGCAGTTGGAGTCAGTCCAGACCCCTGAAAAGGCCTGCAAGGCAGGGAGCTGCTCTTCCGGGTCTCCCAGCCAAAATTCACAGAGGACCAGAGGGTTTTCAATGGCTCCGAGTGAGGAGGGCTCTGCAGGAGAGGGCACTGCTTGTGGGGTCCCCTGACGGGACCCTGTGTTGCGTTCCAAAGGCAAAGGAAGAATTGGACCCTGTTTAATAAAATACACACGAGGCTTGGCCAGCAAGACTCTGGGAGGAAGTGCCAATAGCCACTCCTTCGTCCAAACCATTTTATTAACTCTTAAAAGAACTCTTACACAGCGTTTGTAAGAACCAATCAGATTTCCTCTGAGCATTTCAAAAAATTACCACATGGGACAAAGTCAGATCAGAGAAATCCTTTTAACTACAAAGAACTAAATTGAGCATGCATACATAAAACAGGAATCAAGGAGGAATGCATTTAGCAAACCCCAGAGGTCATAAACAGGCAGTAAACAGGAAAGGAAGGACGGCAAGGGAAGATAGTATTTACCATCTCCTTGTGAACTCTCTTCCTGGCCCTTAAGATCTACCTAAAGATTAACAAAATCTACATCAAAATTACCTCCTATCTTTATGACCCAAGATGCCTGGTGAAGCAACCGGTCTGTGTTTTAGAATGCTTATACGTGCCTGTCAGGCAGAGAGAAAATGGGCAGCAGAGAAAATGGGCAGAGATGGTGAGGCTTGTGGGATTTGATCAGAAATTATTGTCAATGACTCGAGCCCAGTCAACGCAATGCTTTCATCGCGGACACAATGGCTTGCTGCATTTTTATAATTCCTCATAGCAATCCCACGTGACCCCCACACCCCTGGTTGGCTCCTGTGAGAAGAGGGTCCCTGGGCCTGATCCGGAGGCTTTTCTGATGCGTGTGAAGCAAGCCTCCGCCTTTCCTGCTCCTGGGAGGTTCAGGGGTGGGCAGAAGGGGGCTCCCTCTTTCTTGCTGGGTGGGGGGAGGAAGAGAGGAAGGCTCCCCCCCCCCGGTGACCCCCCTGCGCTCTCCCCCCAGACAGCCCTCCACTGGGCAGTAAAGCACGGCAAGGAGGAGCTGGTGACCCTCCTCCTGGGGGCCGGGGCCGACGTCAACATGCGAGCGGTGAGTCCCTTGCAGGGCTGGGAGAAGGGGGCTTGCCCCCCCCCGAATCCTGGGGAGAGAGGAGGTGTTGGGGGTGACCCTAAATGCCCCTTTTTTCTCCTCCCATGCTGACCCCTCTGCATGAAGCATGTGAGTAGACCCTGTGAGTAGATAAGGGCACCACCGCAGGTGGTTTTTTGGGGGGAGGGGGACGTCTTGCACCATCCAGGGCAAGAATTGCAGCTTCAGAGTGGAGCTGCTTCCCTTAACATGGGGGCCCAAGTGGGAGCAGGGTGGGGGGCACCACAGTTGCACAACCCCAGCCAAATGGGCAGGGTATAATATTATTATTATCATTATTTATTTTATTTATCTATCTATCTATCCATCCTTCCTTCTCCTCCACCCCCAACCCCCCCCTCCTGCCCCTTTTCTCCTGGAACAGACACAGGGGGTGAGTATTCAAATGCGCTGGACCTGTGGGTGCATCGCTTTGGGGGTGGGCAAGGCAACCGAGAGCAGAGCCTGCTGGAGGGTTGCTGGGGACCCCAGGGGTGGGAGGGTTTGGGTGGTGGGTGGGGCGCCCCCCACTCCCCATAAAGTAGCAGATCTCCATGCTGTGTGCAGGCATCTTGGTGCCAGAGGGCGAGGGGGCACTGGGCAAAGAGCGTTTTGGTGGGGGGGTGGGGGGGGTCTGGTAGTTTCAGAGTCAGATGCTTCAGGGCCTGTTCTTCCTCCTTCCGCCCCCCAACCAGGGCTACACCCCCCTGCACATTGCCGCCCTACATGGCCACCGGCGGCTGATGGAGTTGCTCATCTGGACCCACGGTGAGGAAGACATGCCCCCCCCATCATCCATGCCCCTCGCTCCCTGCCAAAGGGGTCAGCCCTCCTTAGGGGCGGCTTCTTCCTCCCCGATGGCACCTCAGCTCCCTGTCGCCCCACAGGTGCCAACCAGGACATCCGGGATTACAGCGGCCGCCTGGCCAAGCACTACCTCTGCGTGGAGACCCCGGAGGGAGCCCCCACCCCACCCCGTAAGAACAGCGCCCCCCCTCTTGCCTTTGCATGCGCCTCCACAGGGAGGGCGGCCTGGGAGGGCAGGTTCAGGACGGGCCAAAGGAAGTCCTTCGCCGTGGAGCGCCAGGTTAGACTGCGGAACTCCCTGCCACAGGAAGCAGGGATGGCTTTGAAAGAGGATGGGGCCAATTCACAGAGGAGGAGCAGGCAGTGATGCTCCTGCTTCCCAGCTGCCGGAAACTACAGGAGGGGAGAGTGTGGCTCTTCGAATCCTGATTGTTGCCTTCCCGTTGGGAGCATCTGACAGCCAGACTCTGTGAATATTCTTAATAATAATAATAATAATAATTTTTTATTTATACCCCATCCTTCCTGGTTCAAAAACCAGGCTCAGGGCGGCTAACAACAAATTTAAAACACTTAATTATAAAAGCAGCATAAAATACAGTATAAAAAAATGAATAACAATAAAATTCAAAAATCAATTAGATAATCCACAGGGCTAGCTGGCTGAATTGGTCCTATTTGGGCCAGCGAGGAGACCAGGGGAGAATTAGCTGTGGGGTCTCAAAAAAGGGGAGGGGAAGGGAAGAGAAGGGAAATAAAAGATCAGGCTAAGTTCAAATTGAAAGCCAGGTGAAATAGCTCTGTCTTACAGGCCCTGTGGAAGGAGGTTAAATCCTGAAGGGCCCTGGTCTCCTGGGACAGAGCATTCCACCAGGTCGGAGCCACCACTGAGAAGGCCCTGGCCCTGATGGAGGATAGTCTGACTTCTTTAGGGCCCGGGACCTCTAAACTAGGATTATTCATGGACCTTAAGGTCCTCCGTGGGGCAGACCAGGAGAGGCAGTCCCATAGATATGTGGGGAGGGGTCGCTTTCTGCTCCCTGTTTGCATGTGGAAAAGGGGAGAGGGGAAGGGACCCTAAAGGGGACTGGCTTGCAGCCCCCTTCCCAGAGCTTCTAGGTTGTCTGGCAGAAGGGCCTATGGGGAGAGGGGAGGGACGTGGGGTTGGACTAGATGACCCTTGGTGGTCCCTTCCAACCCTGCCGTCTGTGTGAGCGTGCCCCCCCTGGGGGTCTGCTGGTGTCTCCCCAGAGCTGAGCCCGATCCGGGGGGAGCGCAGCAGGAACCGGAAGCTGGCCTGCCTCCTCCTGCCCAGGACCATCCACCCAGCACAGCGGAGATGGGGCTCAGCCAACGACCTGGCGGAAGAGGGGGAGGAAGAGGAGCCCCAGGAGACCCCCCAGCAGCTGGCGCCCCCAGGCAGCTACCGGGCCGTGCGCAAGTTCTCTCGCTAGGCAGACAGAGGCCCCTGGACTCCACCAGCCTCTCTCTCAGGGAGAGGCAGTGGTGGCGCAGTGGTTAGAGCATCAGACCCGGACCTGGGAGAGACCAGGGTTCCAGTCATTCCACAAGTGGCATTGGGGGCCAGTCGCTGCCTCTCGGCCCAGCCTACCTCACAGGGCTGTTGTGAGGGGGGAATGGGGGGGGATGATGCCAGGCCCCTTGAGCTCCGTGCAGAAAATGTTGGGCTATAAATGGAGCAAATGTTTTGAATAACTTTTTATATACATTGCAGCCAACAGGTGAAGAATCAGAAGCACTTATTCTCTCTCTCTCTCTCTCTCTCTCTCTCTCTCTCTCTCTCTCTCTCTCTTTCTTCTTCTTCTTCTTCTTCTTCTTCTTCTTTTGTATTTGTTTGTATTTAATCGGTTTTTTTACCTTTTGTATTCCAAAAAGATATTTTATAGTTGGTATTCATCTTTGTATATCTCCTTTCAAGCTTTAATAAAATATATTGGGGGGAAAGAGAAAAGGGTGGAGTATGAATGCAACAGATAAATAAATGAAACCAGCCCCCGCCCCCCTCCTGAGCCGGGGAAGCCTTAGACTTTGCCCCCCCCCCCCCCCAGCTCTCTTCCTGTGTCTTCTTCCAGGCCTCTCCAGTCCATGAGGGACTCCAGGCCTTGATGCAACATATCCAGGATTTGGTTTCCTCAAAATGAACATCAGCGGAGACTGGTGTCTTTAGGATATACTTACAGATGGTTTTACTTACACATATATACAGCCTGAGCTTAGGACAGAGGGGTCACAGCATCAACATCCTTCTAGGAGATCTTGCTTCATAATAATAATAATAATAATAGTTAATAGTAATAATTTACTATTTGTACCCCGCTCCTCTGGCTGGGTCTCCCCAGCCACTCTGGGCGGCTTCCAACAAAGATTAAAAATACATTAAAATGTCACATTAAAAACTTCAATAAATCTGAAGGGCAGCCTTCAGATGTCTTCTAAATTTCAGATAGTTGTTTATCTCTTTGACATCTGATGGGAGGGCCTTCCACAGGGCGGGCGCCACCACCAAGAAGGCCCTCTGCCTGGTTCCCTGTAGCTTTGCTTCTCGCAATGAGGGAACCGCCAGAAGGCCCTCGGCGCTGGACCTCAGTGTCTGGGCTGGACGATGAGGGTGGAGAGGCTCCTTCAGGTATACTGGACCGAGGCCGTTTAGGGCTTTATAGGTCAGCACCAACACTTTGAATTGTTCTTGGAAACGTACTGGGAGCCAATGAGGGTCTTTCAGGACCAGTGTTATATGGTCTTGGTGGCACTCCCAGTCACCAGTCTGGCTGCTGCATTCTGGATTAGTTGCAGTTTCCAAGTCACCTTCAAAGGTAGCCCCACGTAAAGCGCATTGCGGTAGTCCAAGCAGGAGATAACCAGAGCATGCACCACTCTGGCCAGACAGTCTGTGGACAGGGAGGGTCTCATCCTGCGTAGTGTCAGCTTTGGATCCAGCACAGAGCAAGCAGGTCTCTGGGTCTCCAGCTCAGCTCTTGCACAACTCTCAGGGTCTTGTTCTCCTACCTGGCAGCTAGGTGAGGGGGGTGGAGGAAAGGCCTACCTATTATCCTGGAGGCTCCCATCCCTTAGTTGTGGCTCATAGAATCATATAATAGAATCATAGAGTTGGAAGAGACCACAAGGGCCATCGAGTCCAACCCCCTGCCAAGCAGGAAACACCATCAGAGCACTCCTGACATATGGTTGTCAAGCCTCTGCTTAAAGACCTCCAAAGAAGGAGACTCCACCACACTCCTTGGCAGCAAATTCCACTGTCCAACAGCTCTTACTGTCAGGAAGTTCTTCCTAATGTTGAGGTGGAATCTTCTTTCTTGTAGTTTGGATCCATTGCTCCGTGTCCGCTTCTCTGGAGCAGCAGAAAACAACCTTTCTCCCTCCTCTATGTGACATCCTTTTATATATTTGAACATGGCTATCATATCACCCCTTAACCTCCTCTTCTCCAGGCTAAACATGCCCAGCTCCCTTAGCCGTTCCTCATAAGGCATCGTTTCCAGGCCTTTGACCATTTTGGTTGCCCTCCTCTGGACACGTTCCAGTTGGTCAGTGTCCTTCTTGAACCGTGGTGCCCAGAACTGGACACAGTACTCCAGGTGAGGTCTGACCAGAGCAGAATACAGTGGCACTATTACTTCCCTTGATCTAGATGCTATACTCCTATTGATGCAGCCCAGAATTGCATTGGCTTTTTTAGCTGCCGCGTCACACTGTTGGCTCATGTCAAGTTTGTGGTCAACCAAGACTCCTAGATCCTTTTCACATGTACTGCTCACAGTTGGCTCCTGCAACCTGGCTCATTCTTTTGGGATGCGGATGTCTTATCAAAATAACAATAGAATCCCCCATTAGATTCTAACCCTCCCTGTGTCCAGGACCCCAAGGGCTGGAAGGAACTCGGGGCATCATGCAGACCGACCTGCCCAAACTTCCTTTGAAGCTACCTCCCATTGGCCTGGAAGTGAATCGCCCCCATGACCACCATGCGACGCAGTTGGGGCCCCACTGCAGCTGTTCCACCAACGAGGGAGTAGCACTCTGCGCATGCTCTTTAGCCAAGACTTAGAAGGGGAACCGCAGTCCAAACGAGGTTCTCTGTCCACCTCTCCAGGCCTGGAGCACCCAGAGGTTTCCTAGCACCTAAATTTTTGTACATCTTAGATAGTCTTGAGGGGCTGAGGTACCATCCATGCTGCATCTTTAACATATTTTCCTTGACACGCCATACATTTCATATTTGTTCTCCAAAGATTTTCCCATTTGGTCATCATTATTGGGCAGCTAATATCCGGTGCCCATCTAATCATTTCCTAGCGCTTTGTTGTGGGGAAGGAGAGCAGCCCCCACCCCAGTCCTGCTCTGCTGTAACCAGGCATGAGCTCAGTGAGGGGGCTGCGATGGGGGTCCCCAAACCCCTCCAGGACGTGTGCCAAAGGCAGCCGCTCCGGCGAGTGAGAATCTGGCTTCTGGCACAAGGCTCTGCTCCTCCAACTGCAGCATCCTGGCGCTGCCCCTTTAAAGTAAGCTGTGCCCGCTGTCTGCTAATGCCCCTAATCAGCTGCCCTTCACCCCTCTGCCCCTATAAATCCCCCAAGCGCAGCCTCTCCCGCCCCAGAGCCACTCTTGCCACAGCATGGCCTCAGCACCCTCCCAAGAGACGCCTGGGGGCAATGGGGATGCAGAGGGCTTTTGGTGTCCCCTAGGGGCCCCGCCTGCCCCCCTGCCCCCCCTGCTGCCCCCCATGCCCTGCACCTACCCTGCTCTCCCTTGCTACAGCCTGCTGCAGCCACCGCCCCTGGGGCTCTTCACCCAGCCGGTAAGTGACTCCAGGCACTCGGAGTGGCGTGGAGGGGGGGCGTTCTGTGTTGCATTGGGGTGAGCGAGGGGCTGGGCCCAGGTGAGCCCCTGGGGGCTTGAAGGATGGGTGGGACTGGCTGGGCCAAACACCTTCTGCAGGCGAGACTCTTCTCTCCCTCTCTCAGTCGCATGGGAGAAGGTGTAACTTTGGGTGCTGAAAAGCTTCCAGGACCACTCAGATCCTATGCGCATTGCTGCTTCCAGCAGCCCTCAAGCTAGTGACACCCTTGATGGAATCATAAAAGAACTCACTTGCCTTTCTCCTCCTTCTTTAACAGTGCCAGCAACCAAACAGCAGGGAGTCCCGCAGATTAACTGCCCACCAGACTTCTTTTGTTCTTTCTGAATGTGTCACTCTGGCGTTTTTTGCTTCCATGCGCCCATTCTGTTAAATCTCATGGCTGTTTCCCTGTGTCCATTCTGGGCTCCTTTCTTTTTTTATATATACATTTTTATTGATTTTTTAACATATCAGTTCCAACAGCCATACAACATATCTTCTCATCTTAAACAATGTTTTAGACTTCCATCAACACCTCTGATGATTTTCCGTTCTTTATCACTTATTCTGCATTTCTTAATTTCTATATTACATTTAATTGTCCTTAGCTAATAATTCTTTTCATAGTCCTGGAGTCCTTCCTTTTGGCCCTTCTAAAATAGATGCAAGGCTCATGAAGGTTTTCAGGCATCGATGGCCTCAGAATAGAACGCCTAAGTTTGGGGAAGGGCTGCAGCTCAGCTGGTGGAGCATCTGCCTTGCAGGCAAAGGGTCCAGAGTTCAAATCCCAACGGCATCTCCTAGCAGGGCTGGGAGGCACCTCTGCCTGAAAAACTAAACAGCTGCTGCCAGCCAGTGCCAAGAATACTGGGAAAGCTGGACCAATGTATCAGTGTAAAGCAGCATGGGCGTAGCCGGGGGGGGGCAGGGAGGGACAGCTGACCCTCCCCCCAAATCAATAAAAACGCATAGCTAACTGAGGTTCTGCAACCACTAACAAAACTCCTGGCTACACCCATGTAAGCCAGCATCCTATGTCTCTGTGTTCCTACCTGGCAAATCTCTGGGTTCAGTTTCTCCATCAGTTCTGAGGTGGGAGCTCATTGGAGCTGCTTACCTGTGGCTGGGGGATGCCAAGCATGTGAGGAGAAGGAACTTCTGGGGAGAATATTGGGCAGGGGAGAAAGTAGCAGGCAGGCAGAGCAGGTGGGGGGGTGAGCAATAGGGCCAGCCGTTGGGGGGCAGGTTGTCAAACAAAGGCCAGGCAGCCAGTGGCACCAGATCCCAGGTGAGTTGGGGGCAAGGGTGAGGTCAGACTGGCTTGCAGGAGACAACCTCACGAGTTCCCTTCATAGAATCATAGAATGGTAGAGTGGGAAGGGACCCCCGAGGGTCATCTAATTCCAACCCCCTGAAATGCAGGAATCACAACTGAAGCATCCATGACGGATGGCCATCCGATCTCTGCTTAGAAACCGCCAAAGAAAGAGCCCACCACATGGGAAGGCAAAGTAAGGCCCAGGGGCTGGATCCGGCCCAGTCGCCTTCTCAATCCGGCCTGCAGACGGTCCGGGAACCAGCATGTTTTTACATGAGTAGAACGTGTGATTTTATTTAAAATGCATCTCTGGGTTATTTGTGGGGCATAGAAATTCGTTCATTTCCCCCCAAAAAATATGGTCCGGCCCCCTGACCCCTGGTTTACCACCTTCCAAGGGAGACCGCTCTTCTGTCAAATGGCTCTTTCATGTCATTTGAATCTGTTGTTCAGATATTTGGAGATGTCTCTGTGTCTCCAGCTTCCAGCCGCCTTCTTCCTAGCAGCCAGGCGGGGGGGGGGGGGAGGCCCAATGGCCATTTGCCTGAAGGCACAGAGCAGCTTCTTTGCTTGTACTAATTGCAATACTTAACTGGTCAGCCAGATCCACTACCTAGGGCATCACTTGGGGAAGCTTGCTCTCATACCCTTTAATACACACACACACACACACGGTCCAGAGAGCTGGACAAGAGTCAGGGCATCATCCAGACTGACCCTCCCAAACTTGTGCCATCACCCCTTCCAGAGACCAAGAGGTCTGTCCCAAACCTCCTTCCCATCCCAGTCTCCTCCAGAGTTCTTAGGGATGGGGAGGGAGGCCTTCTGCGGGCAGCGCAGGTGTCCCATTCCTGAGTCCTGCCTCTGCCTGGGATTCATGTTCTCTGTCCTAATTCTCTTTGCGCCAAGTTCCCCCCATTTGAGGGGCTATAGGAGGAGGGAAGCCACCCTCGTGGCAACAAGAAACAAAGGCAGGCAAGCGTTCACAGCCTGGCGCAGTGGGCAGGCTGGCATCGAAGCAGCTCAAACCCGCTCCTCGCAGCCCTGGGCTGCATGACAGACACTCCTCTCTGGTCTGGAGATGTTTAAAAATATCTGCAGAGAGGGAGTCTTTGTGGTGACTTCTCAACCAGACAGGGAAGGGGCCTTCTCTGGGAGGCAGGAGAAACGTTGGGATGGAACTAAAAATAGCAGCAGAAAACAAGAGGAGGCAGCAGAGCCGAAGAAGCAAAGCCCCTCGGGGGCACGGTGCCCGCCTCTCGACCTCAGCAAAGGTGGCAGCGCCATCCGCAACGCTCTGCCCGCCCCACTCAAGCAGGAGGGGGCCCAGAGTGTGATTAACTGGAACTAACTCTGTCCTGGTAGAGCCAGGGTTGGTGCAGTGGTCAAAGCTGATGAAAGGACCCTGAGGTCCTTGAGGGCAGCTGCAGCCCCAGTGGCAAGGCGGGACCCAAGAGCACCCCACATCCTTTAGGGGGAGAGGGATGCCCTCCAGGACAGATGGACCCCCACTCAGGAGGGCAGAGAAAGCCTCCATTCATTTCCATCATGCCTTTTCTCTAAAACGTCCCAAATGCCACAACCTTTCTCTGCCTGGCTTTGCTTTCAGGGTGGAGCAGGTTTCCATTGCATGGGCCACATTTCAAGCACACTTCAATTTCTGCTCTCTGACCCTTCTGTCGTTGACTCAGCCGGCATCCAGGCATGTTTCTTTCCTCCAGCAGGGCAAGTGTCCCGTTTTCAGTGGGGCATCCCAGATCACAGAAGCCAATCCTGGCATCGCCTTGGATCCCGGAATGTCCTGTTTAAGACGGGCACCCTGGCGCGAGTCAGCAGGGTTGTGCTGGAAAGCGCCAGAGAGCCTTCCAGGATCGCTTGGGGAATCATCAAAGGGTGGGACCAAAGCGCCTCCGGGAGGCTGCAGTGGCGGCGGCAGGAGGCAGCGGCGACGGGGGCAGAGGAGGCAGCAGGTGAAGGGGGCAGGGAGCAGGCAGGCAAGGGAGGGGCTGGGTGGGCAGTGGTCTTGGGCGTGAGCAGGCGAGTGGCAGGGGTGGCAGGATGGTGCAGGGTAGGGGTGCGGGTGTGCCCCAATTTGCCCTCCCGAAATGTGGGGGAGTATGCAGGGAGCCGGAGCAGATCAGAGGAGCCAACATTTCCCTGTTAATGGAGAAATCTGAGGGCTCCCTTGGACAAAAAACAAGGACACCAGCCAGGAATACCAGAGCAAAACAGCAGCCAGGAGGCTTGGCCTTTATTGAAGACCCTCGAGACAGGACTTCCACCTGCCACCAGGTGGAACAAGATGGAAGCCCCAAACAAAAGAGAACCCAAACTTTTATTAGCTGCTAATCCCCATGTTGTGGGACACGGGTGGTGCTGTGGGTTAAACCACAGAGCCCAGGACTTGCCGATCAGAAGGTCGGCGGTTCGAATCCCCACGACGGGGTGAGCTCCCGTTGCTCGGTCCCTGCTCCTGGCAACCTAGCAGTTCAAAAGCACCTCAAAGTGCAAGTAGATAAATAGGTGCCACTCTGGCGGGAAGCTAAACGGCGTTTCCGTGCGCTGCTCTGGTTCTCCAGAAGCCGCTTAGTCATGCTGGCCACATGACCCGGAAGCTGTATGCCGGCTCCCTCGGCCAGTAAAGCGAGATGAGTGCCGCAACCCCAGAGTCTTTTGCGACTGGACCTAATGGTCAGGGGTCCCTTAACCTTTTTAATCCCCTTGTTACACCCCCCCCCCAGACTACATCACGGTTACATCATGAAAGGGGAGGTCTGGTGGCAGTAATCTGAGCATCCTGGACCCCCCCCCCATGGTTCCCCTTGCCCTCCACCAAACACCCATCAAGTGGAACAAAAGAGATATTTACATTTCCCTGTTTCCCAGCCAAGTTAATCCCACCCTTTTGTCTCCATCTGGGTTTGTTATTTCTGGAATGGCTACCTGTCTGGCACTCAGGTATCAGGATGCCAGGGATTATCACTCAGGCAGAGGGGCTGCTGAGTAGCTGAGCTCACATGTCTATATGAATTTCTGACGTTTTCCCAGTGAGCCAGTACATAGAGACATTGATCAGCAAATTCTTACATTTGGTATCGTGCAGCAGAGGCCCTTTGAATAGATAGGAAGAAACTGTGATGAAGTGTTTTGTGGGGACAAATTACAAAAGTCACAAAAGCGATGGTGCTGGTTTTGGTAGTGGGCTGCATGTGCATGATATCTGCTGGAGGGGCAACCCCCCCCCCAACCTATACATAAATTCCTGCAACACCCGGAGTTGTTTGGGGGTCCTGCTGCTGACAGCTGCTCTTGCCTTTGTGTGCTCCAGGTCTCTGCCCCCTGTGAGCTGCCTGGCGGACCCCCCCTGCTGTGGCCGGCGCCCTTGCTCTACTCGCCCCTCCTGCGGCCAGGCACCCCCGAGGACCCGTCGCGGGGCAAGGCAGCCGCCTCCCGGGAGAGCACGGCGGCCCTCAAGGCCTGGCTGGGCCAGCACCCCAAGAACCCCTACCCCAGCAAGGGAGAGAAGGTGCTGCTGGCCATCGTCAGCCGGATGAGCCTGACGCAGGTCTCCACCTGGTTCGCCAACGCCCGCCGGCGGCTCAAGAAGGAGAACCGGGCTTGCTGGGTGCCCCGGGCCCCGAAGGCCGAGGGAGAGGCGGAGGAGGAAGAGGAGGACAGCGAGGGAGAGGCCGGCGCAGAAAGAGCAGCCCCCAGCACCCCTCCGCCGAGGACAAAGCTCACCCAGAGTGGCTCTCTGGCAGAAACAGCGGCCCCTTGGCTGAAGGCCGGGCGGTGGCAAGGCTTGCCTGCGTCTCCTCTGCCAGCCACTGCTGAGGTGCAGGAGCTGCCCGCCAAGCCCAAGATCTGGCGTGTGGCTGAACTGGCCACCAGCGCCCAGCCCGGCAGGGGGGCTCTTTGAGGAGCTGCAGGGCATCGAAATGGGGTGAGAGGAGACCCCTTTGTCCAGCCCTGGAAAGGCTTGTCTGGCTGGTGGGGAAGCAGAAGAGAAGAGCTGCTGTTGTTAGTTCTTGTTCTTCGCCTGTCCTTCAGCCTCAGGTCCCAGAGTGGCTTACAATATTTAAAACATCGTGCGAATACAGTTGAAAGTAGCTGGGATAGTCGACTCTCCTTTATTTTTCAAGCAGAGTTTGGGAGGTCACATGCCAGGGATTTTTTAGCTGTGAGTCCTACATTGCACGGGATTGGACTGGATGACCCCTGGGATGCCTTCCAAGTTGAAAGAAAAAAATTAAGGTCTTTTATATATATAATAAATGTTCATAAATGTACCAAGCAAGCCCGTACATAGATATGGGGACCACATTTCTGGAGCAGCCCAGGAAGACCGCCCTGAAACCATTTTGACTCCCAAACTGACCCAATGTTTTCCCTGCAAGGAGGGAGGGGGTCAGGGAGCCTTCCCATTGTCTCAGGAATTGGGTAATCACCATCTCAAAGGAATGGCCAGACTACCAGGAAAGGCAATCAGATAAGGCATTATCAAATAACCTGGCAGACAGGAAAAACAACAACATTCAAATTTCTGTTGTAGACCACCTTTTCTGTGATGTATGCATGATGTATGGAGGGGTGGTCTTGAGCTCTGGGGAAGGCAATTTAAAATGTCTATATAAGGGCAGGTGCACCTTGGTTCTGGATTCCTCCTCCTCCTTTCCTGCGTGTGAGGGGAGCACCCTGTTGCAACAGATCAATAAAGATCAGGCTTACTAGCTGCTTTGCTTCTCAATATTCTCTGGTTGGCCTCTGTTATTTTCTCCTACGGATGGAGAACCTACAAAGGACTCTACATGGGCTCTTGTGTCCCCCATAAGGGAATAAGGGCAGATTTTGTTTACAACAAAGTCTACAATCCTAGAATTATAGAAATAGAGGGGATCCCAAGGGTCAACTAGTCCAACCCCTGCAATGCAGGAATGAAACCTTGACAGATGACTGGCCAAACTCTACTTATAAACCTGCAACGAAGGAGAACCCACCACCTTCCAAGAGAGTCCATTTCACTGCTGAACAACTTGTACCGTCAGAAAGTTATTCCTCATGTTCAGTTGCAATCTCTTTTGTTGCAATTTGGATTCCATTAGTTTGGGACCAAGCCTGCTCCATCTTCCATGGGACAGACCTTGAGATATTTGAAGGTGCCTCTCAGATCTCCTCTCAGTCTCCTCTTCTACAGGCTAAACGCACCCAGCTCCCTCAACCTTTCCTCATCAGGCTCGGTTTCCGGCAAGGGGGTGGGGTTAGATTCTGGAAGGGGTGCAGATTTAGAGGAACGAGTTGCACACTTTTTCGTCCTGAGGTGTGACGATGGAGGGGATCTGTTTTGACAGTTTGTGTCGGTGCTAAAAAGTGCCCCACACAGAGCAGCTTGTGGGGATAAACCAAGAGGGACAAGTGGAAATTTGCAAACATCCGTGGGGGAAAAGAAAACCAGCTCTGCATGACCTCTGCTGGATGAAAAGGTCGTGGCAGCTCCAGGTTCCTCTAAGCCACGGGTAGGCAACCTAAGGCCCGGGGGCTGGATCCGGCCCAATCGTCTTCTAAATCCGGCCCACGGACAGTCCAGTAATCAGCGTGCTTTTACATGAGTAGAATGTGCCCTTTTATTTAAAATGCATCTCTGGGTTATTTGTGGGGCATAGGAATTCGTTCATTTTTTTTCTTCTCCAAAATATAGTCTGGCCCCCCACATGGTCTGAGGGACAGTGGACCGGCCCCCTGCTGAAAAAGTTTGCTGGCCCCTGAAAGCCTACTCTCCAATAGGATATCAGCTCCCTAAATCACCCTCCTTTACCCTGGCAATCCCCATTTAACTCTGGGAAGAAGCACTTCCTTTTTTATGTCCCAAAACTTTTCTCCATGCAAGGCACCACTGTAGAAACGTGTATCTCTCACTTGCCTTTTAAAGCCCCAAACACCGTCCCTCATAGGAGAGTCTCTCCACCCCCTTGATAATTTTGGCAGACTTTTCCCAAACCTTTCCCAGCCCTTTCGAGATGAGCAAACGGAACTGCACACTTTTATTCCTCATGCAGTTGCGCCATAGATTTGCAGAATGGCATTACAATACTGGCAAGTTTTGTTTTATTTCGTTTATTTCTGAACCAATGGAGGACACAGACAACAGGAGGTGCTGTTCTGCCAGTTTTCACCAGGCACCGGGACTTGCAAACCAAGATAAGCAGCTTTTCCTTTAACCCTTTGGTGAGTGTAACGAAAGGAGCAGACCAGGACTTGGCACTGAGCACTCAGGGGGAGGAGGATGTGATGAAGGCCAGGGGTCTGACTCCCCTGGGTGGGACACCCTTTCCCCTTTTGCCCCTTGAGCCCGCAGGCTGCTAAACATGCTCTGCAGAACTTGCAGGGAAAGTCTCTGGCTTCTGAAATGACCTCCTGCCCTGTTTGTAAGAGGTCACCAGTCTCCATGGACCCACTGGGTGCGGGATGCTCTCCCCGTGGGAAAATTGCCCGTGTGCAAGGGGGTGGACTAGTGGACCTTTTAGGTGCCTTCCAACCATACAAGTCTAGGATTCTTCGTCAAGGGGCTGGCAGGTTGCCACAGTAGGACACGCGATGAGCCAACGTGTTGCAGTGGTTCGAGTGCCGGACGAGAATCCGGTAGAGACCAGAGTTCAAATCCCCACTCCAGCCCTGAAGCCCACAGGGTGACCTTGGGGGCCAGTCGCACTTCCTCTCAGCCTGGCCTGCCTCGCAGGGTGGTTGTGGGGATTAAGTGACAATGGGGGGGAACCATATATGCCCCCTTGGAGGAAAAACGTGGCCCCTAAAGGCAAGAAATAAAATAAAAGAAATATATAAGATTCAGGGTCCAGCAGAAGACAGTTGGCTCAGTGGGGTGGGGGCCGCATCCTGTCCCCCTGCCATTCCCAGTTCCACCAGAGACACGTGGCAAAGGGGGTCCCCCCCCACGGTCCCCACCAATGAGGCAGCCTCTAAACAGGGCAGAATCTGTTTTCCAAAAGAGCAGCAGAGACAAAGGCACCGCCCCCCCCCCCAGCTCAGCATCCTCAAAGTGTGCTCAGGAAGCTGAAAGGGCGAGGCAGGGAGGCAATGGGCTTCTTGCGCCTGCTGTTGACAGGAACGCTGCCCTGGCACATGGAGGTTCTGCTTAGCCGTGTGGCCAACAGCGACTGAAAGGCCCCTCCCTCCTCTTCCTCCTCCACAGAACTGCCTGCTCCTTCCTGAAGGGCGCCGGCAATAAATTTGAACAACCTGCCAGCTATAAATCATCGGGCTGCCTCAATGTGGTTGTACTTGAGAACTCCTAATTTTGTCAGAATGAATCGGATTTGAAGATCTTATGATTTGTGAACCGAGATCTCTGACAAACAAACATCTATGTGTGAAATTACGGCATTCTTGCCTTTGCAAATATCTTTGGAGACAAATAAATTTCTCGGACAGCCAGGTTGCTACATAGTTCTCATGAACGCTTGGCCAATCCTTCGCCATCCTAAGAGTCCATCGTCCATGTCTGAAGAAGCACATCATCGCCTTTCCAGCTCTGAAACACGGGAGGGCTCTCTTCCGAGGCTGGCACTGCCCTTGGTTCGGTTGGCGACCGGACCGCAACCAGGCCGTTGCAGGGAGAGGAGGGCGATGCTGCTGAAATCTGCTTCCAGGAAGGGCGGTTGGAATGGCACGAGATTCGGGGAGGGCAGGGAGGGCGAATTGTCTCTTGGGTGCTGGCGGGAGGCTCCGGGAGGCCTGGCGTTGGCCCCTGCCCTCCGGATCTCCCCCTCTCCCCCACTGCCCGACTCAAGAAGGCAGGTCGAAGATCTCGTGGCAGAAGCACTGGCAGAGGCTGTAGAAGACGCAGAGGATGAGGGTAGAGGGCACGAGGCTCACCAGGACGATGCCCAGGTTGAGACGCTCCACCAGCAGGAGGTAGATGCCAAAGGGCAGAGAGCTGAAGTAGACCAGGCAGAGGACGCCCACCAGGAAGCGCGGGAAGGCCCGCCACGTGGCGCAGGGCTGGCACTTGCCCAGGGGGCCGTAGCAGGGCAGCGAGGCCAGGCTGGGCGGGCGGTAGAGGCGCATGACGTCCAGGACCCCCACCCCCTCGGGGGCCGCCATGTCCTCGGGCACCTCCAGGAGGGTGATGACCAGGCAGTCCGAGGAGGAGCTGTGCCCGCCCTCTGCAAAGGGCTCCAGGATGCTGGGGCACAGCAGCACCTCCGGGGAGGGGGCCGACCCCCCGGGCCTGGCGCCCCCTCCTTGCTTCCGGGCCCTCTCGCGGCAGCTGAGCAAAGCCAGGACCTGCCCGTCGTCCTGCAGGCGCCCCACGTCCCTGTCCGGAGGCAGGGGCATCTCCTGGCGGCAGAAGGGGCAGCTGAGGGTCCCGGGCGGCTCGCCCACCTCCACCATCTTGCGCAGGCAGCGGGCGCAGACGCGGTGGCGGCAGCTCAGCAGTTTGGGGCGGCGGCTGCGGCCGTCAAATCGCTCGTAGCAGATCTTGCACTCCATCTCGTGGGCTGCGAAGACCAGCGGCTGGGGGGCCCCCGCTTTGGCCTTGCCAGGGGACATGGCGGCCTTGGAGGAGGGGAGCCGGGCTGCGTGGGGGGCAGAGAGAGCACAACACAAGAAGGTTAGCAGAGCCCCGGTGGGCCAGGCCAATGCCCTGCCTCGTCCAGCAACCTGCTCTCACCCTAAGAATCCGGATGAGATTCCCTGCCTTTTCCCCTGGTGAGACGCAGGTAGACTGTCTCTGGGCTTGGAAGTTCCATAAAAGGATAAGATGAGCCTGTTGGTTGCTGTGCATGCAGGTGGTCCTGGCACCCCCAGGCCAGTGTGGGGGTGCCCTCTGCCTGAAACGCTGGAACGCTGCTGCCAGCCTGTGTCTATAATACTACACTAGACTGCACAGTATAAAGCAGCTGCTGCCTGCATCCCGGTAAGACTTGGCAGGTCTCAGATGGTTACCATTAACCCTTAGGTCTAGGAATTTTGCAGCATTATTATATCAAAACATTGCTTTTTTAAAAAATGGAGGAAATGGCAGCATAAGATATTCTTTAAAAAAACAAAAATAATAGTTACAGTGTCAGACTAAGATCAGGGTTCAAATCTCCCATTCGGAAATGAAGCTCACTGGGTGACCTTGGGGGCCAGTCGCTGCCTCAGCCTAACCTACCCCAGAGGGTTGTTGGGGGGATTAGACTAGGAGGCCGGGGGGGGGGGAGCTGTGCGTCACCTTGACCTCCTTGGAGTAAAAGGTGGGGTGTCAATAAATAAGAAGGAAAATGTCCCTTTTCTCCCCTTGAAGAAACTCTGGGAAGGTATGCATATTCTGAAGTGGAAATATATTATTCATTTCCCCGGTTTGTCTCTACTGCTGGGCCTTCCCATCGCTAGTTTGGCTGGGTCACATCCAGGCTCCGGCCTGAGCACCAGGGCGCTGTCTCAGGAGGCCATAAGAAGAGCCTGCAGGATCAGGCCAAAGCGGGGGCCCATCTAGTCCCCAACCCTCTTCTCACTGGGGCCAACTAGATGGATTCCAAGGCAAGAGCCACATTCTCCCCCCCTGTGGCTTCCAGCAACTGGTATTCTGGCCTCCACTGGGGAGACAAGGCAGAGCCATCCTGGCGAGGCGCCATCGAGAGCCCTCTCCTCTTCCTCCTCCTCCTCCTTCTCCCTGAATCCGCCTAACCCCCTTGGAAAGGTTGCTGAGCCCCACGGCCTCCTCCGGCTGGGCGTCCAGCAATGGCCTGAGCGCCCCCCGTCCCCGTCCCCCGTCTTGGTTGGGCTGCTGAGCGGGACGCATCTGGCCTCTGGGCACACGCGCGCAATTGCGCGCAGGCTGGCTGAGAAGCAGAGCGCCTCACCTGCTGCCAAGAACGGGGGCGGGGGGGCACCTGTGGCCCTCCAGACGTGCCTGGGCTCCAGCTCCCATCCTCAGCCCCAGCCAGGGCGCTCAGGGAGGGTCACAGAGGACAGAGAACCCCCCACACACACACACACAAAAACCACCATCCATGCAACCCTGTGAGAAGCTTGCGGCCCTTCCTGCCGGGGTTGGGGAGGGGGGATTCTCTCCTGCCTTGCCCAGCTGCTGGCTTCGGGGACCCCCCTCGCCCAGATCTCGCCCCCCGCCCCGGTACCGCTGCTGGGAGAGCCTGGCCGGGCCCCAGGCAGCTCCGGGTGGAGTCCTTCCTCGCCCCCCTCCTCCCCCGGAGCTCAAGGGAACCCATCCCTCTCCCTACCTGGTGCGCGGAGGGGCGGGCGGGGGTCGTCCCGCCCGGGGGTGTCCCGCCGGCCTCCCAGAGAGGCGCTGCCTGCTCCGGCTCCGGCTCCGGCTCCTGCTGCAGCCCCGGGCAGACGCTCGCGCGGGCCGCCGGCAGCCACCGCCTGGCCGTTGCCATGGCAACAGAGCCGGGATGCAGGAGGAGGAGGAGATGGAGAGGATGTTGATGGCTGGTCAGGCTCAGGCGCCCTCCCCGCTTCCCCCACCCCGGATGTACGGCCTGATTCCACCCCCAGCTCCGCGGATATGCGGGGATCAAGGCAACCCCCTCAGCAGCACAACTGGGGGCCCCCCGACCCAGCGCACCCCATCCTTTCCCGCCAGAGGCCCCCAAGTTGCTTGGGGAGGGGAGACGCGATGCAGAAGATGCGGCCGCGGCCTTGCGCATCCTTTGCAGCGCGCTGCCCCGCTTCGCCGATAATGATCAGGGCGCCATGGTGGCGATGCCCGCAGTTGCGCTCCTTCGGGCACGGAGCTCTCTGTCTGCCTGCCTGCCCTACCTGGCTGGTTGGTGCAGGAAATATGGCAGGTCGGGGGAGTGAGCCACGGGCGCCCTCCTGTGCGCCTCAGAGGAAAGGTGGGAGACCCACTGAAAGGGGTTGGTTGGTTGGTAGGAGAGGACGCCTGAAGACGCCAGAGAAAATATCCCCCCCCCCCAAAAAAAAACACACTCCAGCACCTTCTCATTATTATCCAAGGTAGCACCCGCACTAATCTCTTGGCTTTGCCTATTAAAGGGAGCATGTAAGGTTGTCAGGGACACGGGTGGTGCTGTGGGTTAAACCACAGAGCGTAGGACTTGCCGATCAGAAGGTTGGCAGCCAGGAGGCTTGGCCTTTATTGAAGACCCTCGAGACAGGACTTCCACCTGCCACAAGGTGGAACAAGATGGAAGCCCCGAACAAAAGAGAACCCAAACTTTTATTAGCTGCTAATCCCCATGTTGTGGGACACGGGTGGTGCTGTGGGTTAAACCACAGAGCCCAGGACTTGCTGATCAGAAGGTCGGCGGTTCGAATCCCCACGACGGGGTGAGCTCCCGTTGCTCAGTCCCTGCTCCTGGCAACCTAGCAGTTCGAAAGCACCTCAAAGTGCAAGTAGATAAATAGGTACCGCTCCGGCGGGAAGGTAAACAGCATTTCCGTGCACTGCTCTGGTTCTCCAGAAGCGGCTTAGTCATGCTGGCCACATGCCCCGGAAGCTGTACGCCGGCTCCCTCGGCCAGTAAAGCGAGATGAGTGCCGCAACCCCAGAGTCTTTTGCGACTGGACCTAATGGTCAGGGGTCCCTTTACCTTAAGGTTGCAAGCCACATGCTACTTACCTGGGATTAGGCCCCATTGAATTCAACAGGACTTGCTTCCTATCAGACCTCTTTCTGAGTGCACCGTCAACCTATTGAAGCCATTGGTTCAATAAACACACCCACTGGTTTCTAGGTACAATAAGGTGCCACAATCTATTTGTCTGTACCTACACGGACACACAGAGTAAATCAAAATAGAGATGTGTGGGTGATTTGGTCTTGAGAGTCAGTGGGAAGTAGCAGTCAGGAAGTTGGGTCAGGAAAACCAGAGTTGAAGTCCTCACTTGCGCCCTGAAGCTCCCTGGGTGACCTTGGCCGTTTCAGCACCACCCCTCTAGGCCCCACCAGTCTCACAGTAGAGCCGGCCCACTAATTAGGCAGGGCAAAGCACCGGTCTCAGGCGGCAGAAGAGCAAGAGGCGGCACCCCAGCTCCTGCTGAATGCGGGGGGGCATTCCACCAGTGGCGGAAGGGGGTGCAAGGGGCAGCACATTTGTCTCACCTCCAGTAGCCAACAGGACGGGGGCCCCCTCCTCGCAGGGTTGTCGTGAGGAAAGGAAACTGAAGTGAGGAAGCATGCAAGGAACTCTGGGTTACTTGGAAGGGAAGCAGAATATAAATGGAGAATAAAAGAACCAAACCAACAAACCAAGAACTTCTCCGCTACAGACTTGTGGGAGCAAATCTGTCCAGAAGTGCCCAAGAGATATAAAATTAAGGAAGGAAGGGTTCAGGGGGTTTTGCTCAAATGAAATTGGGAAGATGGCCGACTCAGGCTAGACAAGAGGGAATCATAGAATCATGGAGTTGGAAGAGACCACAAGGGCCATCGAGTCCAACCCCCTGCCAAGCAGGAAACACCATCAGAGCACTCCTGACATATGGTTGTCAAGCCTCTGCTTAAAGACCTCCAAAGAAGGAGACTCCACCACCTTGGCAGCAAATTCCACTGTCGAACAGCTCTTACTGTCAGGAAGTTCTTCCTAATGTTGAGGTGGAATCTTCTTTCTTGTAGTTTGGATCCATTGCTCCGTGTCCGCTTCTCTGGAGCAGCAGAAAACAACCTTTCTCCCTCCTCTATGTGACATCCTTTTATATATTTGAACATGGCTATCATATCACCCCTTAACCTCCTCTTCTCCAGGCTAAACATGCCCAGCTCCCTTAGCCGTTCCTCATAAGGCATCGTTTCCAGGCCTTTGACCATTTTGGTTGCCCTCCTCTGGACACGTTCCACTTTGTCAGTGTCCTTCTTGAACTGTGGTGCCCAGAACTGGACACAGTACTCCAGGTGAGGTCTGACCAGAGCAGAATACAGTGGCACTATTACTTCCCTTGATCTAGATGCTATACTCCTATTGATGCAGCCCAGAATTGCATTGGCTTTTTTAGCTGTGGTCAACAGGTTGTGGTCAACCAAGACTCCTAGATCCTTTTCACATGTACTGCTCTCAAGCCAGGTGTCCCCCATCTTGTATTTGTGCCTCTCATTTTTTTTGCCCAAGTGCAATACTTTACATTTCTCCCTGTTAAAATTCATCTTGTTTGTTTTGGCCCAGTTCTCTAATCTGTCCTTCACATGCTCAAGGAATTCGCCAGAGAGACGTAGCAAAGATGACGAGGTGCTTCTGGGTCTCCAGAGGAGGATGGCACAACGGTCAGCCGACGATCATTAGCTTTCTCAGTGAAAATGGGCCAGAGGCAGGTCTTGAGGTCACTTGCTTGCCCACTGACCAGGGAGCAACCCTGTGAAGGCGGACACTGGCTACCTCTCCATCCTCCATCTGCAGCAAACCCATTGATGTTTCATGGAGGGCTGCGAGGACCCTTCACAAAACAAAATAATTCTGCACTTGCATCATTTCCCGCTTGCGTCATTTCTTATTTTCCATAATTTATTCCAGTTTCTGGCATTTGGTATACTTTGGTTAGTCACGGAGGAAGGATGCTGCACTGCTCACTCCACCCCCCCACCCCCCCCCCAGTATTATTCACACGTCTCTGGCTTCTGAAGCTCCCGCAGGTTTCACCACCCATCTGACATGTTTCTGCAGGCATACTAAGGACTAGAAACCTGCTTTAAAAATAAAATGGAAGCAGAGATGCACATGAACTTACATTTCTGCAGCTGGTGGAATTAGGCCACACATATGCACAATCATGGTTGCATTCGGTTTACACCTTAGATAAAATTATTTCTGAAATATAGGTGATAGAAGAAAACAACTTTCCCCCCCCTATGTGGCCTGCAACCTCCACACCAAACAAGACTGGATGGCAGCCCTTGCTTTTTATTTGCTCAATTTATACTGAATTACACTTCAGGCACACTCCGTGCTCCTCCCCATAGTGAAACCGACTCCCTCAGAAGCCGGTGGATTCTCCTTCCTTGGAGGTTTCTCAGCAGAGATTGGGGGGCCACCTGATGGCGATTCTTCAGCTGTGATGCCTGCATTGCAAGGGGTTGGGCTAGATGACCCTTGGGTGGCCTCAATCAACCCTGGGGGGAGGGGCAAGGGTGGCACAGGGAATGCGGAAGCTGGGCTCAGGCGCATCAGACACGGCCTTTGGCCAGTCTCTCCCCCTCTAGGTTCTCATGAAGTCAGAATAAGCTCAGACCATTGTGATGTCTTTGGAGAAAGGATGCGATAAGCAATTCAGTGAGACTCCACACGAAGGCACAGCTGGGCAGACCAAGGTTGCGCTAGAAGTGGTCTGGAGTGCTCTGTTTGAAATCAGACCAGCGCAAGTAAATAGGTACCGCTGCGGCGGGAAGCTAAACGGCGTTTCTGGTTTCCGTCACGGTGTCCCGTTGCGCCAGAAGCAGTTTAGTCCTGCTGGCCACATGACCCGGAAAGCTGTCTGTGGACAAACGCCGGCTCCCTCGGCCTGAAAGTGAGACGAGCGCCGCAACCCCGTAGTCGCCTTGGACTGGACTTAACCGTTCTGCCTTGGTCAGGCCCCCGTCCTCAGAGTTTTGTGCCCACTTAGGATCATAGAATGGTTAAGAGCTGGAAGGGATCCACTTCAGGAAGGATATTGACAAGCTGGAATGTGCGCAGAGGAGGGCAAGCAAGATGGTAAAGGGGTCTGGAAAGTATGCTTGATAAGGAAGAGATGAGGGAGGTGGGCATGTTTAGCCTGGAAGACACTGAGAGGCATGAGGTTCACCTTCAAGTATCTTAGGGCTGCCACACAGAGGAAGCACCACTGCCATAAACTCAACAGGAAATTACTTCCCGCATCTTCAGAAGACCTCGTGGCTCCTTTTCACAACCTCTCCAGCATCCCACATATGGAGCAAGCTTCTTCTCTTCTGCCCCGGAGGGGAGGACATGAACCCATGGCTTCAACTTACAAGAAAGGAGATGTTTAGTCGGAAACATCGGGAAGAACTTTCCAACAGTAAGAGCTGCTGGAGAGTGGAACGGACTCCTTCGGAAGGTGGACTCTCCTTCCTTGGAGGTTTCAAAGCTGAAATTGGATGGCATGCGTATTTGTGGTATGACAAAGCGGAAGTACATAAAGGATTTTATAACCATATAGTTAGATCACTTTTAAAAGTTTGGGAAAGATATAAAGATCTATCGGAACAGAAGACCCCGGGGTGGTGATGACCAATGGAAGCAACATCAATAAGGAAAGTAAGCAGGAAAGAAAAATGGCCTACATATAGAGATATTTTAATAGAAACAGAAGGGAAATTAAAATTGGAAGAGCTTGAGAATATTCAAGAATATGTAAATGATTGTCTGCAGTATTATCTATTAAATTAGATATTTAAAGAAGATAGTAAGAAAGGGTTTAGCTATACTTCATCCAGAATTCAAAGAGAAATTATAGATAACACAAAAACACCGAAGAAGATGCATAGTCTACTGCTACGAGTGGGAAACCAAAGATGAAGAGGTTAACTGTGTAATGATTAAATGGGCTCAAGATTTAGAACATAACTTACAAATGGAAGATTGGGGGAAACTGAAGTTAAAATTCACTGATTGTATAGCTCTTAAAGAGAATTACATGAAAATGATGTATAGATGGTATATTACTCCTCTAAAAATGGCAAACATGTATAGAACAAGCTCCAATAAGTGTTGGAAGTGTAAAGAGAAGGAAGGCGCGTTTTATCACATGTGGTGGACTTGTAATCAAAAGCTATTGGGAAATGATTTACAATGAAATGAAAAAAAGTTTAAGATAACTTTTGTTAAAAGACCAGAAGCTTTCTTGATAGGCATTACAGGTCAAGACTTACCAAAAGAGTGGAAGAAACCATTCACTTACGCTACAACAGTGGCTAGGATATTACTAGCCCAAAAATGGAAAGACGACAAGATACGAAAGAAGAATGGCAAGTAAAACTGATGGATTATGCTGAAATGGAGAAGCTTACTAGAAAACAATAGACAAAGACAATAGAGATTTTAAAAAAGACTGGGAACCATTTATGATGTACCTACCGAAACACTGTAAAGAAGTAGACTCACTAGCAGGGTTTGATTAAGCACTCACAATTAAGAAAACAAGCATAAAAGTTAGGAGGCAATAACTGGGAAAATAATAAAGCGTAAGATGTAATTTGGGAAATACGGTATAAAAATGATGTGAATGCAACGATATTTAGCTAAAAGATTACAAATTAAGGTAGAACAAAATAAGCTGAAGAAACAAATATTTAGAGAACCAGAAGAGGAAGTTGAGGGAAGACAGTGGTTGGGGGGAGACTGGGATTTGCATATGGTTTTTTGTAAGGATGATGATTGTGTTGAATATAAAAATGTAAAGTTTAATAAAAACTATTAAGAAAAATAAAAATAAAGCAGAAGTTGGATGGCCATCTGTCTTGATGCTTGAGTTGAGATTCCTGCCTTGCAGGGGGTTGGGCTAGATGACCCTCAGAGACCCAACTCCACGATTCTATGATACTAGGACTACACCAAAGTGACAGGGGTGGGAGGGGAGGCTTTAAAACCCCCCTGCCCTGAAGGACTTCTGGGGCAGCCAGGATGCTATTTCCAGCACATGGGGGGGGGGGGAGAGGCAGGGTTCTTTCATATCCAGGGAGCAGCTGGCTGAAAAGAAGAGTTTGCCACCTTGCAAAAGCCAAGAGCCAGGGCGTGCCTTCAGAGGGAAGCACCCGACTGCTTAACACTGTCACAAAGCCCAGAGCTTGACATTTGCTCTCAAAATCATTGCAGGCCTGGATTGTGTTTGCAGTCAACAAGTCTTCCGTCTAGCCATGGCCAAGCAGGGCTTGAGTGGCTGCCCACTAACAGGTTTCAATGGTTCAAGCAAAAAACAAAACAAAACCTTCCCAAACGTATTGCTGTGGTGCAGAAGCTGAGCAGAGGAGGAGACATGAACAACCTTTGCATGTGAAAGAGATCCTGGTCTCTGGACCGAAAGAGATGTTGTGTATTGAGCCACTTAGGATGCTAGGGTCAGTTACACCAACATCCACACACCCTTGTCTTTTCTGGAGCATCAAGGCAACTCCTGCACGTCAGCTGAGCAGGAGGAGCAGGAAGAACAAGAGGTACACCCCCCCTCTTTTACGCACACAAACACACAGCTTGTCCTCTCATCTAGCAGGCACAAGAGACACCACTACCACTTCCAAGCTTCCCGTGGTTTCAACTCTACAGGATCAGCACCTTGTGAGCTACCTTTCCCGAACTCAACCTAACATAGGAAAAGCAGCCAAGGCCTGGGGGGGGCACCGTAATGCTGGTTTTAATGTTCCTAAGAACTGGGAAACAAAATCAAAAATAGACTTTTCCTTTGCTCTTTTGATAAAAGTAATAAAACGGTTAGCACTGTTAAATTAAAATCCTTTAAAAAACACAAAACCCCTCTGCTGGTCTCCAAGGAAGCCCGGAGCCTCGGATAAAAACTGCGACGACTACAAAAATGGCAGCCAAGACCTCTGTACACACACAAAGCGGGGCGGCCTTGCCCCACAGGTTACAGTAAACAGCTTCGGTGAAAACACGCAACTGGTACAGCTGGGGAAGGAGAGAGGGGAGGAGGCGGCGGCATGGCCTTTCGGCGCGCGGAGTCGCCACACGGACATGTATTTACAGTATAGACACACGGCTGGAGCAGCGCAAAGGACACCGCAGGGCACGGCGCCGCCAGCTTCCCTCTGTTCGTGCTCCTTTCCCCTCGCGGAAGACTGCCCACGTCCGGCTGCAGCACTGGGCCACCCCTTGGCCTCCAACAGCCAGACCCTCACCCCGCTGTCCGTCCCACCTGCCCCGTGGGATCCGTGGGGGAGCTACGACGTGGGCGGCAGGCACCTCCTCGCCCAGGACACCTCAAGGAGGCCAGGAGCCGGTCCTGCCGCTGCGTGGAGCATACGGGGGCGGGGGAACGCCCCCCAGGGAGGGAGGAGGAAGGGCCTGCGGGGCTGGAGAGGAAGGCAGACGTTGCGGAGGAGCTGATCCCCGCCTCCAGCACTGTGGGGCCAGCCCCCTCGCCCTCCCTTGGGAGCAGAGTCCTCTCCCACCGCCGCTGCCCGTCAGCCCAGCCATGAGTGCGCTAGTTCGGGGTGGTCTCCCGGCTGGTGCTCTGGTCCTGAACTGTCTCTCGCTCCTTCTCTGAAGCTGAAGAGGAAGACGAGGAGGAGGAGGAGGCAGACGAAGCCAGGGTCCGCCCCGAGTGCTTATAGGCCGTGACGAGCTCCTGCAGTCGCTCTGCGTTGGGCTCCCACTTGGCGAAGCCGGAGTTGTTTTGCAGGAAGAGGACAGCGGTGTTGTGCACAGCTTTGTAGTACATCTCCTCCCTGGAAGAGAAGACAGGCGGTCAGAGCTGCCCCTCGGAGGAGCCGAGGGCCGGGTCATAATGCAGCAACTGAACAGGGACACAGAGCTGGACTCCAGTTCCCATCAGCCCCGGCCAACAGCCAGGGATGGTGGGAGATGCAGCTTGGCCTCACAGATTCGCTACTCCGCGTTCTGCGTGGAGAACATCCAGTTCAGTCCCTGAAACCTGCTGTCAAAGGGATCTCAGGTGACAAGGCTGGAAGAGAGATGGCCAGACCAGACAGGGGGCGCCTCCTTCTGTCGGTGGCCAACTGGCGGGGGCAGCCACCACCTTCACCTCAGGGAAGAGAAGAGCTGCGGGGTGAAGCACCCCTGAAAAGAGCCCACATTTGCTATAATAGCCTGCAGCTTGGAAGGGCGCTCAAAATCCCTTGCTCTCCGCTTTCTGTGGGTTAACAAGTTCCTGATCCACAAGCTGACTTTGCCTGGTATTCTATGACTTCTAAGCCCTGTTTAGGGAAGTTTCTAATGTAGGGTGTTTTATTGTGCTTTTAATTCTGTTGAGAGCCGCCCAGAGTGGCTGGGGAAACCCAGCGAGATAGGCAGGGTATAAGTAAAATAACAACATCAACTATTAGCAAAGAGGCACTTTGTCAAAGGCTTCCTCAAAGTGCAAGTACACTGTGCCAACTGGATCGCCTCTGTTTACAGACCTGTTGACAGTTTTGAACGATTCCAATAGGTTAGTGAGAGCAGACTTGCCCATGGAGAAGCCATGCTCATTCTTCTTCAGCAAGGCTTGTTCTTCTATATGCTTGGCAATTCTACCTTTAACGTTTTCCACCAGATTCTCCAGAACAGATGTAAAGCTAATCTAGTTTACCAGATTCCCCCTCTTTGCAACCCCTTTAAAAAAGGTGTGGCATTGGTAACTCATTAGTCCTCGGCCACAGAGGCCAATCTTAGGGGACAAGTTACATAGTTGTTAGAAGAGCAGCGATTTCACACTTGAGTTAAGAACTCTCTGCCACCATCCATATCCTGACTCACGACTCCCTTGCTGTGAAGGTTAGGCTCAGGCGCAGGAGTCAGGCCTGCAGATTCGGCAGGGAAGACAGGTGTAAAGAACGCTTCTCTGCAACCTACTTCTGTCCCCTTCAGTGGCATTTCTTCCAAAGGTCTAAACTGCCTCCTTGACGAGCCTCCTGCTACTAAGGTATTTAAAGGTTTGTTTTGTTGCTGGTCTTCTACATTTTTAGCAATGTGCTCCTGGAATTCTTTTCAGATCCTCTACTGCCGGCTTGCATTTCTTCTGCTAAAGAGATTGCATTCCTTTTTGTTCTCTGATCGCTCACCGCATCCGGGTGACGGGGGCAGGGGAGAAAGAAGGGGCAGGCTTGGGATTCTCAGCTTACTTTTTGCAGACATGCTGGGAGCCGCTGCGATACTCGTGGTCAAAGGCGGGCAGGATGAGCTGGTGGCGCTTGAACCGGCTCTGCTCCATGCGCGTGAGGGCTGGCGTGGGAGGATCCCGCCACTCTGGGATGAAGACGATGAAGGACAGGGGCTCATTGGAGGCCTCCAGCAGCTTCTAAGGCAGCGGAGAAGAACAAGCACCCTCAGCCTCGTGGGCAAGGGGGGAGTGGCGCTCCAGATGTGTGGGGCAGGGCAGGGGGAGAAAGGAAGACCCCACCCGACAGTGAAGCAAGAAGGATGGACCAGGGAGGCGATGTGACCTTGTAGCAAAGCAACACCCCCAAGGGGGGAGCATACCTCAAAGTGGGACACCATGGCATCCATCAGCTCCTCACAGAACGGAGGGTTTGCCTCAAACGAGCCACTGATGGGGAAGAAATCCAGGCAGGGACTGAAGGAGAAAGATGCAGCAGAGCCCGTGAGGGAAGCGGAGGCAGAAAGAACTTGGGGGAAGGTATACCCAACCCCCGAACCCACAACCAAAGCCAGGGGCGACCTCAGTCTAACACAGCAGGCAGGGGCCCGTCTGTCCTTCCTCCTCCTCCTCCTCCTCCTCTCCCCCTTAGGGCACCCCAAGCCTCTTTGGGCTCCCGCCAGCAGCCTTCTGGCACTCACCCCCTCGAGCCAAAGTAGCCGTCTGTGTCCAGAAAGGCCGAGCAATACTGCTTGAAGTAGCAGTTCAAGGGGGAGGCAAAGCACTCAAAGCTCACGCCAAAGAGCTTGTGCAGGGCTTCGAAGATGTGCACCGGGAGCGCCCCCTGCAGGCCGGTCCCCTCGTAGAGCCCGGTGCCAAACATCATCTGGGGGGAGAGCAAAGGAGTGTTCATTACTGGGTACCCTTAAAGTGAAACCCCGAGCCACCTGCTCCGAGCCCCTAAGCCCCGCAAGAGCCCAGGGGTCTCGCCAGGGTCACAGGCATCTGCCCAGGGAAGCTCCTCAGCCGACTGAGGGGACACCTGGCCCACCAGCCTGGAGAGACAGCCCCCCACCTGCCCCCATCAGCCCAAGCTTAGCACGGCAGGGCATACCTGGTATCTGCGGAGGAGGCACCACACTCTCGGCAGGAAGCGCTCAAAGGCCGAGTCGTCAATGCAGCTGTACCGATAAAGCAGCCACTGAGGAAGAGCAGAGGGGGAGAAGGTGATGCCGGGATGCAAGGGGTGTGGGTGAGTGGCCTGACCCTGGCCCTGCCCCCCCCCCATCTCACTCTCATCTCCCTGCTGCCACCTACCAGCTTGCTGAAGTAGCTGCGACTGACTTTCACCATCTCTCCCTTGTAGCGGACGCACACCACGTTGTTCTCCACGTGGATCTCCACGTTTGGCAGCGGGGGGGAAGGGGCGGCCAGCCTCACCGGGTAGCAGTAGACGAGCCGGTCCTGCACCTCTGGAGTCTCTGCCTCCGCTGTAGGTTGAGGGGAGGAGTTAGTGCCACCCAGGCCACGCCCACGCCGGCTGGCGGAAGCAGGGCAAGGGGCAGCTCCCATCCCAGTCCAAGTGCCCCTGACCCAGTTCCCCCCAACACAAAAAGCGGCCGGGAGTCTGCAGCCTCAGCCAGGGTAAGCGGCCGATTGATCTAGGACTGATTTGCTGTTATTGTTTATCCCACCAAGGAGCGCAAGGGGGCGCACATGGCTCTCCCGGTGAGTTTCAGGGCCAAATACAGAATTTGAATCCAACGCTCTTGACGACACCACCACCCGGGCTCACGTTTCCTCTTGCTTGCGCCTACCAGAGATGTTGTGCTCCTTGAGGATGGCCAGGTGCTTCTCACGAATGCGCTTGACGTACTCCAGAGAGATGTGGTAGATCTTACTGCAAATACCCTCCACCGAGTCCTTGGCTGCCGCCGACACGTGGGGCCCGCACTGCTTGCGCAGGTGCTCCAGGCGGTCCTGGGGGGGGGGGGAGGCCTGTTACACATGCTGGAGTGCCCCCAGGTGCAGACAGGGGGACACACATACCCAGAAGGGGCTCTGCCCCTGCAAAAGGCAACTGACCATGTAGTCTTCCTTTGAGGCGGAGTGGTCCCGTCGCAGCCAGCTGAAGGTGTCCTCCACGTTCCACTTCACCACCTTCCTGCTGTCTGGGGAGGCGCTCCTGCAGTACACAGAGAGCAACACGGCTGAACCCCGTGGCCAACAGAGCACCTAACTCTGCTCTCTGCCTTTAAAACTGAACAAGGACTCAGCAACAGCTTTAAACTCTCTCTCAGTGCTCCGCCTTTTGGCTACTTCCCTTTTCCTTGCGACCTTCCTCCACCGCACAGTTTCTGGTGAGTGGCCTGACTCTCCTTCCTTTCAATCACGCTGCTTGCTTTCCTTCACACACACACACACAGCCTCGCCCATTTTGCACTGATTTTTGCAAGCCCACCAGACCCTGCCCCCCCCCGCCCCCTCTTGCCCTCTTGAGCTTCATACTCCCCGAGCGACAACAAGGACAGAAATGCCAAAGTTCCCACCTGGACTCAATGAGCCTCTTTGCAGCCTCAGCGTATTTGAAGAGCAGCCGCTTGGCTTCCTCCCGGAACTTGATGCGGGACAATCTGCAGGACAGGTAAGAAGGTGGAATCACAGAATTGGAGAGCTGGAAGGGACCCCAAGGGTCATCTAGCCCAACCCCTGCAACGCAGGAACAACAGCTAAAGAATCCCAGGCAGGGGGCCACCCAACCTCTCCATGAAGACCTCCGAGGAAGGAGAGTCCATCGGAGTCCAACCCCAGAGAGCCACTGCTGCCAAGACAGGGGCAGGGAACCCCTGAGCACAAATGCCCCAAGTAGAGCCGGCTGGATCAGGCCAACGGCCCACCGGGCCTAGATGCAGGAGCTGAGCAAAACAGCAACTCTCCCCTCCTTCGATTTTCAGCCTTTGCGTAACAAAGAATTTGGAGGAGACTCCCAGGGACCCTCCTCCTCCCTCCCACCTTAGGAGCACCACCTGCCAGCAGTACCTGATGGGAATGTCATTCATGATTTCTCTGAACATGGAAGGAGACACGACCGGTTCACAGTTGCTTGGCAGCAAAGGATCCGTCCCTCTGTCCACCACCTTCCGCTCCAGCATCCAGCGGTTGAAGGATTCCCGCGGAGGTTCGATCCCTGGGGAGGGGAGGGAGGCAGGCAGGCTGTGGGCTCTGGGAAGAAGCGCCCAGCACGAGGCAGGCGTCCAGGGGAAAGGGGGCGGGAAGCTTGCAGGCAGAACTCACCCTCTCGCTGCTGGCAGAGCTCCCGGTAATGCTGGCGCAGCTTCAGCATCAGCTGGGACCGGAGGAGCTCCACTTCCGGGTGGGGGCTCAGCACCTCCGAGGGCGCCCTCTGCTTGATCACGGCGTTGGTCTGGATGTCCAAGTCCCAGTACACTCTGCGGGGGGAGAACAGCAGGCTGTGAGCTGCCCGCTCGCTGTGGGGGGGCTCAGCAGCACCCACGTCCCTTGCCCAGAGCCCACCTACACGCCAGTCCCCTCCGGGGGGAGAAGGCGGACGCGACTCACTCGGTGGGTCGCAAAAGGGCCGCCTGCTTGTCTTCAGGAGAGACACCAAACATCTTCAGCAGAGCCGCCCCAGGGGCGCTGGAGGAGTTGGGTGTTGGCTGAGTAGGGGCGTTTGCCGGGACATCCACCTGAAAGTGAGAAACGCCAGGTCACCTTGGGAGAGGGCGCAGCGCCAAGGCCAGGCTGGCCAGGGCAACACCCATCTCTCCTCTTATTGCAAGGGACGGAACTGAATCAAAATTGCTACCAGAGCTCTCTTGGCTCCTCCCACAAGGAGTAAGATAAGGGCAGGACAATAAGGGAGCAGAAAGGCACCCGGTCAATTTGGATACCAATAAATATTAAGAAGAGGAGGTGCTCACGCCAGGGATGCCCAGTTGCCCCTGACGACTTCAACCCACAGGGAGACGTGTCTGCAGACAGCTGCTTCCTGCCAAGAAGTTGAACAGCCAGCCAGCCAGCCCCAGTTTCCGGGGAACATGCCACACCCATTTGGCCTGGTTCCCTCTGCTCTGAAAGGCTCTGCAAGTTTCTGCAAGAAAGTTTCTCCAGAAGTTTCTGCAAGAAACAGAAGCAGCCCTGCGGCCTGGCACAAAACTGGCAGGAACCGGTTTAGGAGGAGCCATGAAAAGCAGCTCCAGATAAGATGCAGGGAGGGCTCTGCGTGTACAGCAAAAACGCTTGGGTTGAGTAAGTGTTTCCATGGACTTGGAAGGTTGCATGGGGGGGGGGGAGGTCCTGGGGTGTCAGGAGGGGGCTGCCGGGAGTATCAACAGCCAGGATGATGCCCTTTTCCTTTACGGGCTGTGTGTTAATGGAGGCCCTTGTGGACTCTGCCCGGTGATGCATTTCTGAAGAGAAGTCTGGCCAAGTGGGAATCTGCTTTAAGCCTCTGTACTGACTCCCCAAAGGCAAACTCCTCCCACACCTGGGGAGCCTTCGGTGCCCACCAGGCCTACCTTGGGCTTCTTCACGCTGTTGCCGCTGGGCTGAACCTCCTCAGAGAGTCTCCGCTTTCGCATCTTGTTTTCAGAAGTGGCGGCGGCGGCAGCAGCAGCAGCAGCAGCAGTGGCAGCAGTAGCTGCAGCCGCCGCATCGCCAACTGCCCCTTCTGCAGGCATCGGGGTGGCGTTCAGGCCCAGAGGGTCAGACTAGAAAGCCCAGAAAGAGAAGAGTTAGGCCACCAGGAGCCCTCCACACACACACACACTCCCCATGCAGGCAGCTCTCCTTTCTCGAAACCCTCCAGGCGGCCAGGCCTCCCGCTGGCTGCGGACTCCCCTCTCCGCCCGCTTGCTCGCTCAACAGCCAACTCACAATGACATCGTGCTGCCCCAAAAGCGGCATCTCCCAGAGCGACTGGTTGGTGAAGCGGTTGAAGTAGTAGGGGCGGCTCTCCCGCTTGCTCCAGCACTTCTCCCAGCCGGCCTGCACCAGCTCATCTGAGGGACAGCAGAAGAGCTGTTATCACTATTTGTTAGATATTCATTTATACCCCGAGACTCAAGGCTGCTTACAGATAAGAAAACAAGAATTGCTAAAAACCAAAAAAGGAATAAATGAAAAACAATTAAACATTAACAGAACTATATACGCGCATGAAATCTGTTTAAAACGTACAAATAATTGCGATAAAAACAGCATGGCACCAGGCCTTTCATTAAAAAGCAGGCAGTCCCCCAAAGCCTTTTGGAACAAGGAGGTCTTCACCTCCCTGCAGAAGGACAGCAAAGAGGAGGCTGGTCTAGCTTCTCCAGGGACGGAGTCCCAGAATCTTGGATCAGTCACCATGGAGAAGGCCCCCTTCCGTGTCCCCACCCAGGGGGAACTGAGAGAAGTGGCCTCTCCTGAAGATCCTGGGTCCCAGGCAGGTTCATATGGGAGAATAAAGTCTTTCAGCTGGCCTGGACCAAAGCCATGCAGGGCTTGATAGGTCATAATGAGCACTTTGAATTGTGCCTGGAAACAGGCCCGTGGTTCTGTCTAGCAAGGGAGTCGTCTGCTCCCTATAACCAGCCCTGGCCAGCAATCTGGTTGCAGCTCTTTGAGCCAGTTGGACGTTTCTGAGCCCTTTTCAAAGGCAGCCCCACATGGAGCGCGTTATAGCAATCCAAAAGGGACGCCACAAAGGCGTGTCTCACGGTGGCCGAATCAGGCACCTCAAGGAACAAGGGCAGCTGGCAGCCTGGCTTCAACTGTGCACATGCACTCCTGGCTGCAGCACAGACCCGAGGGCTCAATCCTGGAGCACACCCAAGCAATGGGGAGTGCTACCCCATCCAGCACAGGCTGCATCCCTAGAGCCATGGGTCAGAAAGGCTTGGCTGGGGGAGCGGGGGGTGGGCGCCCACATGCAGCTTCCTTCCTGCTTTCTGCCCCCCTCCCCAACCCTGTGCCACGCAGGGCTCTCCTAACAGCCAACAAGAACCTGGCAAATCAGAGGCCACTGTAAACAGATGGAAACATGGGCAGGATTTTGATTTCACTTGTAGTGTAACAATCATCATGGAAAATACAGATTGATATAAGAAAGTTTGGAGAAGATGAAGCGTTATATGATCAGAATGGGACTCCAGGGAAGGGGTGGGTGGAAGTCCCAAGATTTGAAGGAATCTCTTTATATGGATATGCAATTAGTATTTTTTATAATGTTTTATTGTAAAAAGTGAATGAAAATTAATTCAAAAACACAACAGGTACCTGGCAAATCCTGGACCTGCCGGACAGGTTTGGGGGAGCTGGGCTGGTTCTGGTGGGAGGTGCTGGGAGAGTGGCTCATCAGAGCAGCTTCTTCCCCAGAGCTGCCGTGGTTCTCATGGGCCATTTCTCACCATTTGCACTGGAGGAGACAGAAGGAAACGCTGTCACAAAATGCCCTGTTCGCACAGCCACTAGTCCAGACCAGAAGAGCTCTTGCATGCACAGCCCTCTTGGGCCTGCCTGGCAAAACAGGCGGACACACCTGAGTTTTGGGGGTCCAAAGGCAAACCTCACATGCGCCCCAAAGACAGGGAACACCAAAAAACCCACAAGAGCATTTATTTGCCCAGACCCTGCAGACTAAGCTAGCTAAACTCTGGTCCTTTGGATGACACTGGACTCCAGCTCCCATCAGCCCCAGCCAAGATGGCTGTTAGCGCATCTGGAGGGCGGCAGGGTCATTCATGACCAATAGGGCAACTAGTGCAAAGGGGAGGGGACACCCTAGTTATAGCTTCTGGGCCGCAAACCCCCCTGCCTGTAGGCTGGCTATTTGTGCACAAGCCAGGATGAGCAACCAAGAGGGTGCCTGTTGGGCACAGAGCCCCATGCAATGATGTGGTGGAGATCAAGAGAGGTGCCAGCCAGCCCTCCCCAGGCCATCTCCCTTGGGGATGCGCTTCCTGCCCATTCACTCTCTGCTGCCGAATTCTGCTGGAGCAGGAGCTGCAGAGCCCTGCGTGCCACGCCAACCCTGACTCCTTTCCCTATTGTTAAGGCATCACCAAGATATCATCTTCTCCACAGAATCCTTTCTATGGAGTCCTGGGCTGGGGCCAACCCAATGTGGAGGCACAGGGGAAAAGTTCTCTTGGAAGCCTTGAGAGCTTTTGATCGTTTTAAGCCACGCTCCAGGAACACCAGCCAGACTGTGCGCACACTGCAAGGCATGAGTGTGCACTGCAGGGCACGAGGGCAGGCGGGTGGGCTGTCTGCATCTGCCTTGCCTGTATGACACTAGGCTCAGTCTGAGAGGGCGCAGGAGTCCCTCAAGGGTGCATCCCAGGGAGCCCGCTGTTGCTGTCCAAACAGCGAAAGAAAATGACTCAGCATGGCCACCAGCTGGGCTCCCCTTTGAACTTGCCTGCTCTTGAAGCCTGGTTGTAGCAGAACAGAGTAGGAAGAAGAGAAGAAGAGTTTGGATTTGATATCCCGCCTTTCACTCCCTTTAAGGAGTCTCAAAGCGGCTAACATTCTCCTTTCCCTTCCTCCCCCACAACAAACACTGTGAGGTGAGTGGGGCTGAGAGACTTCAAAGAAGTGTGACCAGCGCAAGGTCACCCAGCAGCTGCATGTGGAGGAGCGGAGACGCGAACCCGGTTCCCCAGATTATGAGACTACCGCTCTTAACCACTACACCACATTGGCTCTCAGGAGTTCCACTACAGATCTCCAGGCAACCTCAATAGCTCTGCTTGGTTGCGCAAGACACCTGCTCAGGCAGTTAGGTGATGATTCAACTGAAGACACAGGCAAGCCCGTGTTGGGCGGGGAGAGGGGGTGGGCAGCTTCATCAGGCTATCTGCACCATTGGTGACCTTATCCTCTCTTGTTTGCCCCCTCCCATCAACTCACTCCAAGTTTAACAGTCAGAACAGAGCATTGTGCATGAAGGGCTGAATCAGGGTGGCGAACCTGCTGCAGACTCCAACCCCCAGCAGCCTCAGGCAGCAAGGCCAACGGTGAGGAGTGACAGGAGCTGTGGCCAGAGGACACCCTTGGGCTGCCTAAGCACATAATAAGGTTTCGTCTGATCACATATCTAACGCCAACCATATTCCGCCAGCCAGGACTCTTTGTGCCCAAGTCTGTTATACCCCTGGGCCCCAGGATACAGAGGGAATTATGCCAATGAACACCCAGAACCCCCTGCTCCTTTAGCCCCCAAAGGGATTAGCATAACTGTATTTAAGAACTTGCCCGGAAGACATAGGTGAAAAGGAACTGTATGTGGGCAAAGGAGTGTGGCAATTGAAGAGGGGCAAGGCCGGCACTCAGCCCTCCTTTGTGCCCAGCAAAGGAACCATGGGGGCTGCTAATGGATGAAAGCCTCCCTCTGCCCCCTGCACAGAAACACAGCAGAGAAATGCAGGTCTCGATCCCTCCTCTGCTACGTCCCAGCAAGCCAGAATGTCTTTATTTAGAAAGCTCGTAACTTCTGAAGGCTTATTCACAAGGCTGAACTGCCACTAGGGCACAGCTACCTGGTATTGTACATGGCCCATAGTATGGTAAGAGTCTGAAATGTTTTGAAAATCCAGGCCGTGCCCCCAAGGAGCTTACAGCTTAGAAGCGGCAATGGCAGAGAAACATTCCTGCTTTCTGCTCTGTTGAGAAGCCATTTGGAGTGTGGAAATGGGCACTGGGAGCAGCAGCTTGGAGCCTGACCAGTCCACGGAATTATTTGGGATACAGAAGGATTCCTCCCAGAATCTGAGAAAACTGCTGTTTGGAAGGGGTACTGGGGCCTTGAACACAGAACTCCCAGCACCTTTCCCAAACCGGAGCACCCAGGATTCCTTGGGAGAAGCAGCAAAGGCACCTTGACTTGTGTGTCGGATGACTCTGTGCACCGGGGGAAATCTGTAAGAGGCTTTAGTTGGGGGCAGCAAATGCCTTTGAACTCTACGGGGAGACCCCCAAAGTGGGGAGAGTGCTGCTTGCGGTGCTCAGCCGCCCCTTGTGGGGCATCCAAGCCTCCATTCCTTGCGACGCCAGCGGAGGGCGCGGATCTGCCGGCAAGAAGGAAAAACAGAACAGCGGAGGAGCTTCTGGAGGGTGCAGCGCACAGCTGGGAGACTCAGGAAGGTCCGTGGGCTGCGGAGCAGCAGGAGGAGGAGGAGGAGGAGGAGGAGGAGGAGATACCCACAGGGGGCGGCTCCGCCAGGAACCCGAAGCTGCGTTGGCGACGAGGGCGACGATCCTGGGCTGCTGCTGCCGGAGGAGGAGGAGGAGGCGGCTAGTCGCGGCTGGTGCGGGGCGCCGGGGCCAGGTCTCCGTGGGGCCGAGGGCCGGCGGCGGGGCTCTGCGGGGCTGCAAGGCAACGAGGCTGCGGTGAGCGAGGGAGGGAGGGGAGAAGCCATTGGCTGGGCGGCCCCGGAGGGTGGATCGGGGGCTGGGCCGCCCCGCGCAGCCCGGCCAGCGGCGCAGCAGCCAGAGAGAGAGAGAGAGGCAGGCGGGCGGGCACGACGGAGGCAGGACGGAGAGGAGGCCGAGCCGGCGGGACGGAAGGCGGCGGCTCCCGGGCGCTCCCTTCCCGGCCCGGGCGGGCGAGAGGAGCCTCCGCCAGGGGGCGCTGCCGCTCTCGCCCCGGAGAAGGGAGGGAGGGGGCCGCACACACACCGACACAGGCGCGCTCCCGCCCCTCTCGGCCGCGCGCGCGTCTCCTTCCAAGATGGCGGCGGCGTCGCCCTGGGCGGCCCCTCCTCCCTCCCTCCCTCCCTCGCCCGCCGCGCCCCCGCCCCCTCGCGCGCGCCCCCGCCCCCGCCTTCCCGCGCGCCCCCGCCTCCCGGGGCCGCGCCGCGCCGCCCTCACCTGGGGCCGGGGCGCCGGGCTGCCGGGGCCTCTCCGCTCTGCGCCGCCCTCCCGCCGCCGCCTCGCCCGGGCAGCCGCCGCCGCCATCTTGTCTTCGGGACCCGCGGCCAGCGGCGCGCAGGCGCCGGACACACCCCGACGGGAGCACTGCGCAGGCGCCGCTCGGGGGGCGCGGCGCGGCGGCGCAGGCGCACTGCCAGGCTGGCGGGGGGGGGGAGAGAGAGAGAGAGACGCGCCACCCTAGACGCGCTCTGGGTCGCCGGGGGTGGCGAGTTCGAATCCCGGCCGGGGTGGCGCAGCTCAGAAAATAATTTGATTCTAGAATGAGGTTGGAAATCCCTCTCCCCCGCGAAGAGTGCGCCCGTGGAGCTGCGGTGCTGACAGGGCCACAGCACTGCCGGTTGCATCAGCTGCTGATGCAAGTCTGGGTCAAGTTCAAGGTGTTGCAACTAGAAGCTGAAGCTCGGAGCGGGTTACCTGCGAGGGGCCCTGGAGCACCTCCTTCTGCAGAAGGGGCTCCTTAATTCCCCTTACGCCTGGGCAAGAACTCGACCTATCAATGATGATGATGATATATTTATACCCCGCCCATCTGGCTGGGTTTTCCCAGCTACTCTGGGTGGCTGCCAACAGAATATTAAAAACAGAATAAAACTTCAAACATAAAAAACCTCCTGATACAGGGCTGCCTTCAGATGCCTTCAAAAAGTCAGATAGTTGTTTATTTCCTTGACATCTGGTGGGAGAAGGTGCCACTACCGAGAAGGCCCTCTGCCGGGTTCCCTGTAGCTTTGCTTCTCGCAGGGAGGGAACCGCCAGAAGGCCCTCGGAGCTGGACCTCAGTGTCCGGGCAGAACGATGGGGGTGGAGACGCTCCTTCAGGTATACTGGACCGAGGCCGTTTAGGGCTTTAAAGGTCAGCACCAACACTTTGAATTGTGCTCGGAAACGTACTGGGAGCCAATGCAGATCTCTCAGGACCAGTGTTATATGGTCTCGGCGGCCGCCCCCAGTCACCAGTCTAGCTGCTGCATTCTGGATTAGTTGTAGTTTCCGGGTCACCTTCAAAGGTAGCCCCACATAGAGCACATTGCAGTAAATGAAGTGGGAGATAACCAGAGCATGCACCACTCTGTCGAGACAGTCTGTAGGCAGGGAGGGTCTCATCCTGCGTACCAGATGGAGCTGATAAACAGCTGCCCTGGACACAGAATTGACCTGCGCCTCCATGGACAGCTGTGAGTCCAAAATGACTCCCAGGCTGCGCACCTGGTCCAGTAGCTGAAGCTCAGAGCAGTTTACCCGCGAGGGGGCCTGACCCACCGACGGTCCCTTGAGTGCCTCCTTCTGCAGAAGGGGCTCCTTAATTCCCCTTACGCCTGGGCAAGAACTCAACCTTTCATTAATAATAATAGTAATTTATTGTAATTTACCCCTAAACAGCAGAAGCAACTCCACTTTGGAACTCCCTGCCTCATGACACCAGACACTCAACCGCACTCCCTTTGAGGTCTGCGAAAAGCATTTAGACATGCCTGCCCAAATATTTACAAAGCTAATGCGAGTTTTAATCTGTTTTAGTCCAGTGTTATTTTAACTTTTAGTAAGCCTTACATTAATGTTGTTAGTTTTTCAGGGATCATTTTATGGGTTTTTTTAATTATAAACTGCATTGAGGGGGGCTTTTTACAATCAAAGAGGTGTATACATTTTATGAAATAATAAATAGATGAAGATGACTGTGCTTTTTCCTGCATCCAAATGGCAGTTTCATTTCATTGGGGGCCCCTGTTGATTTTAAAAAAGAACACCTTATTTTTATATGCTGCAACTCCTTCAGTGTTCAGATGGGGCCATAAACATTTGTTGTGCAAAAGGAAATGGAGGGCAATAGGGCATTTTTACGGAACCCTTTGAAGAAGCTGCTCCTGATACCCAGGAGGGTGAACTGTTTTTCCTCCTCTTCCCTCAGAGGCAGGGCAGCCCCTTAGAAAAAAAGGATTTGGAACTTGCTAACGGGAGCAAAAGTCTGGGTGGCTTTTAAATGTTGCAACCCTGGTCGTCCTCGAGGAAAGAACAGCTGCAGGCGGACTGCAAGTTGGCAGAAAAAGCGGAGCTTCCACAGTCTGTTTATATTCGGTTCAGTAAACAGTCCAGGAGTCACTGAGCTCTTGGTTTCCGTTCATTGACGAAAAGAAATCAAGATACGAGATGTGGGCGTGGGTATCACACAAAGCCTTCCCAGTACCCCGTCCGTTGTCACGATAGCTTAAGGCAGGGGTCAGCAAACTTCTTCAGCAGGGGGCCGGTCCACTGTCCCTCAGACCTTGCGAGGGGCCGGACTATATTTGGGGGGGGGGGAATGAATTCCTATGCCCCACAAATAACCCAGAGGTGCATTTTAAATAAAAGGACGCATTCTACTAATGTAAAAACAGACTGATTCCCGGACCATCCGTGGGCCGTATTGAGAACGCAATTGAGCCGCATCCGGCCCCCGGGCCTTAGGTTGCCAACCCATGGCTTAAGGTTACCAGATTTTTTTCAATGAATGCAGGGACACTTTTCAACTTCCTACTAAATAGATGGATTTTGCCAGGGGGCTGATTTGTAAATCCAGGGACTGTCCCCGGGAAACAGGGACATCTGGTAACCTTACGATTGTTTGAAGAAGAAGAAGAAGAGTTTGGATTTGATATCCCACCTTTCACTCCCTTTAAGGAGTCTCAAAGCGGCTGACATTCTCCTTTCCCTTCCTCCCCCACAACAAACACTCTGTGAGGTGAGTGGGGCTGAGAGACTTCAAAGAAGTGTGACTGGCCCAAGGTCACCCAGCAGCTGCATGTGGAGGAGCGGGGAAGTGAACCCGGTTCCCCAGATTACGAGTCCACCTTTCTTAACCACTACACCACACTGGCTCTCACCTTGCCCTGTGTTGATAACCCTGCGTTTGCCCTTGCGTTTTCCCTTGCCCTGCGTTGGTAACCTAATGGTTGAATTCCTGCACTGTGCTCCTTGTGGGGCTACCCTTGGGCTCGATTCGGAGGCTGCAGCTGGTGCAGAACGCAACAGCTAGCATGTTGGGGGGGGGGGGAATTACTGCCAGCATATTCTCCTTCTTTGGCGATCCCTCATAGCTGAGTAAGATAGTCTTCCATGAACATGGTCTTAACAGTGAGTCCGTTAGTGACTGTGGAGGCCAATTCTGGATCCACACGTCCTTCCACAGTGGGGACGTAGGTTTCTGGGTGGGAGTTGATCATGGTGTGGATTTGCCAAGTGTGCCTTCCTCCTAGCACGTTTTGTCCTGAATTTGAGTGGCTTCAAAGCCCGTGACACCTTTGGTCAAGGCTGTTCTTCAACTGGAGCGCTTGCAGGCCAGTGTTTCCCAGTTGTCAGTGTTTATACTACATTTTTTAGATTTGCCTTGAGACAGCCTTTAAACCTCTTTTGTTGACCACCAGCATTACGCTTTCCATTTTTAAGTTTGTAATAGAGTAGTTGCTTTGGAAGACGATCATCAGGCATCCGCACAACATGACCAGTCCAACAAAGTTGATGTTGAAGAATCATTGCTTCAACACTGGTGATCTTTGCTTCTTCCAGTACGCTGGCATTAGTTCGCCTGTCTTCCCAAGTGATGTGTAAGATTTTTCGGAGACACCGTTGATGGAATCTTTTGAGGCATATAACTCCCTACTTGCGGGATTTGCAATGGCTGTCAGTGCACCCTACTTGTCAAGTTCAAGTGCCTATGCAGCTCAGGACCTGATTGCTGGGAGAGAGAGGGAGAGATACTGCCTTGTCCCTTATACACCCAGTCGGTCGGCAGGAGAGGCTTCCCTGCCAAAGATGTCAGAAGCCCAGTCCTTAGCAGGGCTTGTAGTGTAGCTACCCCTGTTCTGTGGAGCCTCCGGCATCCACAGCCTGCAGTTTCGGGAAACAATTGAAGACATTTTTGTTCCAAAAGGTTTCCCTGGCTGAATAAGCGGGTCCTCTGGCCAGGGTGTTAGTCTTGTTAGAAGCCTATTTATTGTTTGCATCTTACTTTATGTATAAAGGCGTTTATATACTGTATCGCTCAATCGCAAAACACATCAAAGCAGTTTTTACAACGTAACAAAAAATAAAAGCATCAACAACCCAAGCATTAATAATAATAATAGAGTCTAGTATCTCTTCCACTACCCCCATGGGGTGGAAATCAGCTGGTGGGGATTTTGATGGGGGAAATGGCTTCCATTAATTCCCCACTCTCTTGCTCTTGGCTCAGCCTCATCCACAGTGGTTCCTCCCTCCCTGTTGCTACATCCAAATGAAGAAATTGAAGCCCACGGGGACACACCTGCATCAAATCTGGCTCAGTCTTGTGGTCAGAGCAAGGCTCTGCCTCTTACAGCCTGGTGAGACTGGGCTGTTCCCCCACTGGCCCTCCCAGAGTGAGTCATTTCGTCCACAGCTATTTTGGTTTGCAAAGCCTTTCATCTCTCTGCCCTGCTGTGGTCCCTGCACCCTCAGCCGGTTTGCCTTGGGCTCTCCTTTGCCTCCTGCATCTCTTCCAGCTGGAGGCCATCTTGCAGAAAAAGGGCAGCCCTCAAGAAAACGCTCCAGGCTTGGCCAGTACTTTCCAGGGTGGGGGCCTCTGGCACTCTCAGCCTTGTCCAAACCGTAGACCTGGGCTAAATCTGCCACTGGCTGAGCAAAAGCCCTGAGGCGGAAAGGCCACTGGAAAGTTGGAGGGGACAAAAAGGAGTTTTGCTTCGGTGAAAACACAGTGCTGGGGATTTTTACTGTCTGCCATAAGCCGTTGGTGGTGATGGTGTATTTTTGCTTGTAATGAATTAGCAGCAGTGCTTTCCAAGGT